AGATAAAGAACATAATAACAAAAAGGATCCCCTTTTTGGTGGAGTTTATAACTAGCAGTTCTCCAGGAGATGCCACATGGCATAACCATTGTACAAAACCATATCTTACTTGGGCGACAGTATGATCGGGGCACCAGCTACGGACAAGGAGCAGTTTACGGAATTGATCCAGTGTACTGTCATATCCATCTGGAATAACAGCTTTTTCAGGTGCTTCTCCATCAAACCAAGCTTTCCAAGACTTTTCATTCCTAACTACTTGCGCCAGAAGTTGATTAAAAGGGTACAAGCTAGATAACTGCACAAGGTTGAGCCATGTCATATCAAGGATCCACTTTTTTGGTTTTGGTTCCACGGAATTCAGATCTAAACTGGCACCTCCTGAAAAATGAAAAGCATTACAGAGGAAAACAACCATTGTTAAACAGAAAAATTAGAAGTAATAAAAAAATATTTATTTATATAACTTAGGGAGTAAAAATCTTTGTAAGGCAGGACATGGGCACCTAGAATTTGCATGGAAGAGTCATTTAACAAAGGCGTATTGGGGAAGTGGTCTCAGTGCCTCACAAAGCTGATATCCCAATCATTTTTTGGCTGTTTTTTTTTCCATCAGTAGAGCTGGAATAAAACTTGTCTCCCTAAAAAGATACTCAAACCCTTGTCTTCAGACCAGATACAGAAAGGACTTACGGTTACTCCAATCTCCCTTCATCTAGACTACAGAATAAGAAAACACATAGTGCTTTCATTTCCAGAACTGTGCAACTTCAACAGCCCTCCTACCTCAATAATCACTTCAGCATCATGCCCATTTGCACCTCCAACACAGCTGAGTCACAGCTGAACATTAACTCAGTGTTTGCAAAGCAAACTGAGATATTTGTATGGCAAGTATCTGACCACATTTATCTCAATATCTGATTGTACTTATCGTGTCTTGGAGACACTGGGGTCCACCTAGATCAAATTTTCTAAAATTTACTACAGTTTTTCTTTCTTGTTGTGCCTAAGTAATGAAACGAAGTGGTGGCATAATGCAATGCGATATAACAATGTTAAACAACATGCAAAAGATTATTTTTTTAAATATATACTGACACTTAAATGTGTTGGGAGTCTTCATGCATTCCCATGCCTGCTCACCAGCCATCAACATAGACTTTGGTGACTGTCACCAAGCTCACCAACACAGGAATATGGCAACCCAAAAAAGAGGTACACAGGAGAAAACAGTAGGTTCTCTTAAAAAGTAATGGACTTTTTTTTTTTTTTTCCCAGTTTTGCAATGTAAAATGGTTAACTATCCTAATCTAAGTATAACTATATTGGTCTTGTTTTGGAAAATTTGTCTCTTAGTGCCTTCTTGGGCTATATATGCTTCATTCATACACTAAAAACATTAGATCTACTGGATACAACATATTGTTAGTGTAAGCACTGCAAAATCTGAATTTGACAGTTCACAGAAATATGTAAACAGGAACATTTTTAAAGACATTACCTTTGATCAGTGTCTCAAACTCAGCATGTGAAATTTTCTTGGCCTGTAAGTCAATCTTCAGTGCCAGAAGCAATATAAACAGGAATCTGTGATTTTCATACAGCCCTCGAACTGTGTACTTGAAGACTTCATAGGTGAGATGCTCAATCACATGTGCTACCCTTTTTGCCGTGATCTGAGACTTCTGAGATCTTTCCACTGATAGGTCAAAAATGCCAAGGAACTGCCGTAAGGATGTTTGGTACATGACATTAACCAAACTCATTTCCACAATGAGGAAATAAAGGATGCTACCACGACCAGCAACGGGCCGATACTCTTCACGTGCAGTATTGATTTTCACCTCTGTCTCTGCTGCTATATTTAACTTCTCACTGACCTTAAAATTAATGGAAAAGACCAGTAAGATTAAGTTATGTCACTTGTGATTTATACTGCAGAAGCAAATGAAAAAGGTCTTGATTAAGATCACAATGGTGTTTTTGCTCGACCTTTGCCTCTTTTTGTCAGTGTTTCAACACATTGTGTCTTCATGTGTTCAAACACCATGCACAATGAGATTTGATTCAATCCCACACCTGCACAGTATGCCTGGAATATAAAGCAGTATCCAGGTAGCAGTTTAATTTTGCAACATTTTATGAAGAAAAAATAATTCTATTATCTGTTAAAAAAAAAATAAATCAGATGTTATATAGTGGCCCTGAATGGAAAAAAAAAAAAAAAACACCAAAAAAAATCTGTCTACAAATAATCTTCAAATTACAGTTTAAAAATGTGGCTGCAATGCATTCAACATTCACCTCTTCTGCTGTTGTTTTAGTGATTTTTAGGACTTCTATCAGAGAATCATCTTCAACCAAAGAACCCTCTGTACTGGTTAGACGGAAGAGGAGATTATCTTCAAGCTCCTGCATTTTCCTTTTGTTAGATGTCACTTCTTCCATCAGTTTGACTCTTTCTGCTTCCAGTTCCTGTATTCAGAAATTTTCCTTAGAATATTTAAATTAATTCAAAGAAAGATGTTTTATAATGACACAGAAAATGTGATTTCATGCATGATAGATTGGAGGGTTTGCTGTTTTTTTCTATAAAATATAGAAATACTATGTACTAAAGTAAAGTATGTGTATGCTGCATTTATTTTATTAGTGTAGCATACTGAGAACTGAAAACACAGGTTTACCAGAAAAACTTGTCATAGTATAGTAGATGCAGAAAGCACTAAAGCTAGTTTCCAATGGGAAATTACAAAAGGCACATTAAAATAAGTACTTTAAATCAGACAAAGGACTGAAATATGCATTGTACGGATGGATTTTGCATTGTTAGGGAAGCTGGCTGAATGACCTTTTCCATTTCTAATTTCTATGATTCTGTGACTTTGCAGGATACACTCCTCTGTTGCTTATAAAATAGGAAGTGTTACAATTATTATCTATGTCATAGGGAATTTTTTTTTTTTTTTCTACAAGGCAGACAATGGCAGAGGAACAATGAATGACATGTCAACACAATGCCAAGTGAAATGAGGCATCTGTACTTTACAATCCAACTCAGCTCAAGGGATACCCTGCTGGCAACCCTTATTTAAACAGAACATGCATTTAAGTACGTGCTTACAGTCTACTTAAGGACATGTTTAGTCTAAGAATAGGCACCTCATCCATTCAATTTGAAAGCCTGTAAAGAGTATCTCTCAGAAAATTAGAAAAAATACCAGATGCCAGGCTTTTGTTTGCAAAAGGATTTAACGAACATATTTGTAACAAGAAGTACAAAAAGATGGTTATAGTAATTGTTTTTTTCGTATAGTTACAGGAGCAACCTTTAAAGCTGAGAAGAATAACCACTACTTTGATCATATATTTTATTGATCGCTCCAGCAGTCTTTAAGAATGTCTTGGTTCCTTTAATCTATTACTTTAGCTCAGTAATCATAGACTTGTCTTATTGTCTGTGACAGAAAACCTGTTCTTCAGATTCTTTGTTCGTGCTTTGTCATTTCTTTGAAATAAATTTATCAGAGCTCCATTTGCTGTGCCGATCTACACCAGGACATTCATCTCTTAATGAGAATGAAGAGACAGAATGACCATGACTTCTTAATACCTGCTAAACAAAAGAAGTTTAATAAATGTTGATTGCCTGCAACCACGTCCCTGTGCAGCAAGTGCTGCAAATACTAATCAGCTTGCAGCTCTCTTCAGCTGATACACAGCACTGGATGAGTATTTTTCACTGCCTGTATTTTTGATCCTAGATGCAGTCCAGGTGTTGCTACACACATTCAATATGAAATCTCTAATAATTTTGTCCAGGAAAAAAACACAGGGTATCTGTGTGAGGGGTGGACAAGTTTTTTATGTGGCTCATGTGAAACTAGTTTCATTTCTATCTTGATTTATACCTCTCTCTCCCATCAGAGGTAGGTTACTCAGTAGGGATAGTCCCAGCCACTCCTGCTGCTGCTGTTCAATTTTGCTTACATAAATACATCTACTGGAGTAAAGATTAAAAGTTCTGCATCCCAAGCATTTGCTTCACCCTGCTAATGGATAGCTTTTCCTCAGTACTTGCTGTTGCAGCTTTTCCATTTTTCATGGAACAATTCACAGGACGTTTGGGCATAACAGTAACTTTCTAGCCACTGATGGTGACTGTCAGACTGAAGTAAGGGCACTTAGGTTCCAGCAAATGCTTGTTTGAGCAAAGTGGAAAGGTGTTGGCCAGAGAATGTAACAGCACAGCTAAAGCAGACAGGTTAGAACATGCTTTCAGAAGTTGAAGGAGGAATGAATTCCTTTAGGTGAGGAACTGCTCTCACATGAGCAAGCCCACCTGAGTTACTCAAAGCAGCAGCTCTGCTAACCCAACTGTTAATTTTTGTTTCTTTTCTCACAAAGACACAATTATTAAATGTTCCATTTGAAATAAATAAGTCATTCGATTTGATGTGAAATATAACTTCTGTGCACTCACTTTAATGAGAAAGGAAGAAAATATTTCATTTTAGTGTAATTGGACTGTAACATTCATGTATTTATTGGTATGACTGCCACAGTAAAATATCCACCTTTGTCCCCAGTGCCTAGATGAATTGACTCCTGTATTTTTGGATATCTAGACTGTTAAATTAGATCACACAAAAATAAATAAGAACAACCTAGGAATTAAATTATTGGGGATGATGTCTCAGATTTGATATTATGCAATAAAACTTGTGAAAAAACCTGAGAGGATTTTCTTCCATATATATGCTTTCAAATGATTAACACAAATTTTAGTAAGAGCAGAACCAAGTAAGTGTTCAGGGCTCCTTAAAAATCTCATGTCTCCTTGCACACTAGAGCCTGGCTGGCAAAAGTAGTTTGAGTTCATAAGCATTTTTTCATGTAAATCACATTAAGTTCAAAAAGGAATTCAGAAATAAAAGAGGTTTCTGACTGAACGAGGAGTCTTCGCTATATATGAAAGAATAAAGATGTTTTTTGTATGTCATGTATATGCCTGTGATGTATTTTTAATGAATAATTTTCTGTCTTCTCCTTCCAGGGACAGATCTTAAAATAAATGTTTAGGTTCCTCCATGCAATTAAAAAACACCTCTATGCTGTCTCTCAGCAAATGCACAAACCCCTAAACTTTCATTCACATTTTTGTTCTTCCATTTTATTTCAACCAAGGTATTAAATATAACCACTCATGGTGGAGGATATTGCAGGCAACTAGTTACCTGTTTTTCTGTTAGGATGACACGGCCAAGGAGCTGATCTTCCAGCCCTTTCATATTAACAGTAAAGTCAATCACAGTTGTTTTTGCACTAATTTCCGGAGTATAGGCAGGATTAGCCAATTTTGTTGTTATATACAGAGTAAAGCCCTTCATCAGATCTACCTCCTTGTCACCTACTTTCACCTGTAAATAAAACAGATTACTCAATATTCAAAAGCTGAATTCAGAAAAAAATCTTTTACCCAGTGAAATACAGATTAACTCTTTTTTTTTACACTTTTTAAACTTCCTGCATAGAGGGCAAAAAAAGTCCAACCCCATGAGTTCACTACTCATCTTCCTAAGTGTAGCAAAGGTGTGAATCTCAGCAGTATTGACTACCCAGCATCTGTGTTACTAGTTTTTTTATTTCATGTTCACAATTCATCTTACTTTGTGTGCTGAACCAGATTTTATGAAATTTTTTTCCAAGATGTTATCTAGGGCAGGATCAAGTTCCTCTCCAATATCTTCAATTAACAAAGGTCGGCCAAGGGACAGGCAGTTTTCTATATGACTTCTGAAGAACTTGTGGTTCATAGCTGTAACCTAGGAAGATTGGTTCACAACATAGGATGCATTTGAAAGCATATAGAAAACAGTATAAAACCTATCGCAGCTTTCAAAAATTATACTCATCCTGGGCTGATTACATTTTACATTGATGATGATGACATTTTAGGGCTCAACACTTGCTTCTGCTGAAATGAATGGAAGATTTGCTTTAAGCTTAACAGAAGATGAGATCACTCTTCCTTAATGTTATCGATTTCCTTATCTACGTATCTATCTAATTACTGCAGTATCTCAATACCTTTTAAATATTAATGGGTTTATGTGCACAATACTTATGCAAAATAGGGAAATATTTATAGGGTTGAGACACGGAATCTGTTACATAGGAGGCCTGGTCTAACATCAGATGTTGAATTTTCAATTCAGTTCTCATTTCACAATATAAAATTTTTACAATTGCTAAAAATCACACAGATTCCCTTTCATCTATTTAAACTTAATAAAATTAACATAAGGCTTTGAGAGTATAATTTAATAGCCTTTCCATGCATCTGTTAAACCATGGTTTTGGGGTGTTTTTTTACCAGAAAAAAGCTAGGATAGACATGTTTTTAAAATAAATCCTTGCCCTGCAGGGAGTGTTCTTTGAAAAAGGTATATTTAAAATATCTAGACGCATATCACACAGTCTTAAAACAGTATATTATTTAAAAGTGAATACTACCTTCCATCACTCTGCACTTCGAGCTTTGTTTTAATGTAAGCATATGTGTAACCACCAAAACAGTACGTTACCCACATTTTAGTCCACATGAAACCACGTGGATAAAATTAATGTCTTAGTGTCTAACAAGACTACTACAAATTACAATAACCCAGATGTACAGGACTAATCTAAACACTTGGGTATTTAGAGTGTTGACATAACTCTGTTCCTCCTGCACTTCACAGGGGGAGAACTCAGATTATTCTAACACAGCTGACACCTGACCCAGGATGTTTAGAAGCCCATAAATGACTGATTTTTCATCAGGAAAGCTTCCTTTGCATTTAGAGGCTGCATCTGTGTGTATCCAATGCCATGTAAGTTTTGAGAGTACTCAGCAGCTCAGCAGTTAAGCCCCATCAGTATTCACAAATACTGACCACAAAGCAGGCCTGGTAGGCATTTTTCTCTGGCTCAGACGTCATCATTGCTTAGAGTGTATGAGTAGTGGGGAAAGAGGAAACAGTGTTTTAATCTACATCTCCCAGTCCTTGCTTTGGTAAGGATGTGATACAAGATCCTTATGCAATTACTGGACCAGGGAATGGAACCTGTGTGCTTACAGACCCCTTCCACGGGCTGCATGCCAGTACGGGGAGAGAGCAGCCACCTGCAAGGTGGGCAGTACAGACCCAGTGCCAACCAAGGGAGGCAACTGAAGCTGCAGCTTGAAGGACATCTTAAAATTATCAGGGAAGGGCTACAGCATGGCAGAAAGTGTCAGTGTAGGTCCCTAACTGGAAGAGCTTCCCTGTTGCCACTCCTGAGCTCAGCTTCACAGGTCTCTGAAATCCTGAGTAGGAGATGCAAGTCTCAAAGAGGGTGGGATATGAGACACATCCCTCTCTCTGATGTTTCCTGTTGGTTACTCACACAAACATTTCTTGATCCAATTTTTGGCAGCCAAAGTGAGGTTTAATGTAACTTATAGGAAGCCATGGCATCTACTGAAAGACAGTAGATTTCAAGTGGTCAAAAATTCCTAAGCTCTTCTGTGAATACAAGTCATATGTTTTAGGAGAGTTTTTAATCATTTTTTTAAATAAAGGCAACCATTTTTCCAAGATCTTTGAATATCATACATTATTTTTTTGCCTCTTCTCAGTCAATACTTCCTGTTTGTAGCTGTGTTATTGCACCATTTTTTGAGCATGTTCAACTTACCAGAAACAAGCTTTGGTGTGAGATTGAATGTCGGGTCTCTCTTAACAGAGCTAGGAAATACAGATCTAGGCCAGACTCCAGAGGGTTAAGGATTTAGCCAATGACATCACCATGATTTCATCAGCTCTCTGGATGTCACCATCCGTACCTTCTTTCTGTTTCTTTTTATACCCATCACTCTCCTTTTGAGTGAAGACAGTATACCACAGTATTGATGTGATAATCTACAGTTGTAGGATAGACTTGATTTATTAACAACTGTTTAGCATAAATGCTTGATCTGGCATGAAAATACATAATGTATTTAGATCTTTATCATAACCCATTTTATCCTTATTGGTGTAAAAAAAGCATGGGGGCAGATAGATTAGAAGTGGGGGGAAAGGAAGTTTTGAATTAAGTAGAAGACCCAGATCCCAAACTGCTAGATAGAAGATGAGAAGTATGGATAAATTAAGCAATAAATATTTTTATCACATGCATTTAATCATCGAGATGCAGCCTAAAGTCGGGCTTTGTGTTTGATATGCCTCAAAGATCACTAGATTTCCATTTTAACTCAGGCCACCATTCTTTTTCCTGTTCCTCCCTTTTTCTTTTCCCTATTTTCATCTTAAAATGCTTAGCCTAAAATGTTATTGCCATGCATCACCAACTGTCTGATCCTGTCTGGTCCTAATTTTGCAAGTCAGTTACTTCCCCCTACATTTCTCTTTCTCTATGACAAGTAATTAAAAGATTCATCATAAAAACACAAATGGCATACCATATAGTTCCAATTTGCTCTTGAAACTGTCTTTCTGAGAGATCTCAAAGCAATACAAGCTATTTCACCCTGTTACAGCTAGGTCACAGATTTTGCACCAGTCTTGTTTTAATTTGTGCCTAACTGGATACAAGAAACATCAGATTTAAATGACATGTGGGCAAAGTATGATGACAGAAAAAGTATATAAATAGCATTGCTATTTATGATGTGAAATGACACATTACAAAAATATTAAATTAAATATTTACCTGGAGTCCATTGTTTTTTTCCTTGTTTTTAATCCAGATCTTTCCTTGACCTTGTGGATCAATAAGCAAAGGATATCTAGATGCTTTTGTGACAATTATGCCATTTTGAATTGAAAGCTCATCATTTGGAAGGCCCTGGAGGTTCCATTCACTCACTGTAGCATTGTCAACAAGCATACCAGTAAGGTTCAAATCCTAATAGAAAATATGCAATTACAAAATTAGCACCAGTTAGAGAAGTTATACTAAAACATTTGCAGGAAGGTTTTTCTTCTTATTCTGAACATAATGTATGAGAGAATGTATTTAATAGTTACTTTTTTTTATTATTTCCTTTCTTTAAAGTTTAGTGCCTAAATCACTGAAGTTAGCTAATAATGAAAGCGAATTCTGTAGAGGCTTTGGAATCCATCAAAAGGCATTGGAGAAACTCTGAAGCCAGTTCAATATCCAATGACAAGCTGATTTTGGTAGAGGCAAACTCTTTTCTTCCTGTCTCAAGAGAAAGGCTTGTCCTGGTCACAAGAGCTTTCTTTTGCTGTAAAGTTGTAAAATGCCCTCAAAATATGTATATGAATATAGGATGGCTTGTGGGAAGAAGAAAGAGGGGATGTGCTGTGGATCAATAACTATGACCTATTACGGAAAGTTATTGTGCTGTGATCATACCTCTTCCCAGCTCACATATTTGCCTAAAGTTTGAACAGCTCTTGTCAACTAACCTGCTTTATTTTCTTCGCTATGAACAGTGACTGGCTGCTCACGAATGTGGGTGTGAAGAACACAGTGCTTAAAATCTCAAACCAGACTCTTCAAATTAGGAAAGTGGCTTAATAATGATGTGAGTTTAAAAATAATATAATAGATGGGTTTTTTTTTATTTGCTCCTTATATTTTACACTGAAGAATTCCTATTCATAAGCTTTCTCTAGAAATGCATTTAAAAAGAAAGAAAAAGCCAGCAGCTCCTGCAAAAATCACATAATTCAGCAAGTGACGCCTAATGCAAAATTTCTAATATTGTGAGACTTGTGAGACAATCATAAGGGTTAGTGATATCAGTGGTTGTAAGAATCAAAAGCTTTTTTACATCTTTTATTTTTATACTACTCCAATTATTGAAGAATCTGAGTGAAGCAACACAAACCATTCCCACAAGACAGAGGAATTTTAAGATTTCAACTCGCGTTTGTGAAAGTGACAGTAAAGTACTTAATAGCCAAAATTTTAAGCAGTTGGAACCTAAAACTGTAGCTCCTTAAGCAGATGAGTAGGATCTGAACAGCTTTGAATTTTTTCTTACTGCAGCAGGAAGTATCAGTCACTATGCAACTCTGAAACTTCACTAATTTAAGTGCTGAACTAAACAGATAGATGGCTAATTTTAAACAGCTCTCTTTAAATTGTTATGCCGAAATGACTCACACACCCACAGACAGTCAGTCTGTGACAAAGTAAGGCAGATGTCAAGCCTCTTGCTTGAACTGCAAAGCTGCTTTCTTTCCTGTGGTGTGAAGTACCAAGAGAAGCCCATATGATGCCTTTTGTGAGTACTCAATTCACTGGAAAAAATTAAAACTGTCTTCCATACACTGTCATTAAAATAATAATCCTGTCTTTAATAGCAACTATCTAAACAGAATGGTAATTATGACTTGAAACTTGTTATTTATGGCATTCTGTGTCTAACCTGTCCATATGAAAAAAACCCACAAAAGAAAACAACATAAAACCACACCACAGGAACAATCAAAAAACACTCCTCAAATTGTGAGGGATTCAGATGAGGAGTAATGTGGTCAGAACATCTTCATAGAGGCAGAATTTTAATCCTTTATGCCTTACTTTCTAAGGACATTACACATCCAAGTTCTTATCCTTAAATGGTAAGAATTTTGACAGATATTCCCCAAGGTAAGTAGCTTTTAAGAACATTTTGTACACTGAATTTGAGAAAGGGCCTCCCTGGGATGAGTGTATGTAGGATAAGTCCCATACCACACTACTAAAGAATCTTGCCTGGGAGTGCACTGCTAGTCGTATTTTATTAATAAATCCACTTTGGCCTTACATACTACTTATCATCATGAGCTTTCAAAGAGCTTTGCTGACCAAGTACAAAGCATTCATCTTTGTAAGGCACTGCATGAATTGTGCTGGGCTGTGAGGTTCACTCAGCCAGGTCAAGGGTAATCACTGTTACAAGCAGGGTTATGCATCACCTAATGCTAAAAAAAACCCCCAAGAATATTAACATGACAAACCTCTCATGGCAAAGAAGTCTCCCTAAAATAGGTTTTAAGTGTCAAATCCCCCAAGAACCTGAAAAGAAGATGCAGCAGGGGTACTAATCTACCTACAATGGTTTCACAACGGTACAGCTGCAGCTGTGCATCGGTTGCACACTTGCTCCCAGCAGTTTCCAGCAGCACCTGCTCTGACAAAAGCTTTGATAGCTGAAGGACAGGAGCCATTTGGGCTTAATGATTTCACTCCAGAACTGAGAGTAAGAAGGACTCCCTGAACTATTTCTCCAGCCTTTACTGCTGGAGAAAATTTATGCAGGTATTCAGAAAACGAGGTGGAAGGCAGCATGAGCAGATGACTCAGAAAGACAGTTTTGATTATTATGGTCTAAACTGTACTAAAGTGAACCTAAATGAAAACATGGAAATTTTTATTCCTAGACTAGTTTGTTGTGTTCAAAATGTAATATGTTAAGAACAGTAGGTTAAAGCATTTATGCTCTAATATGTTAGAAATACAAAATATATGAGAAAACTTTAATTCAAATTCACTCTTTATATTCTAGATTTACAGTTCACAATGAAAAGTAGATATCTGGAGAGAGAGAGCAGAATTTTAGTGGCAGCACATGAGACTGTATGAGGTAAAAGTGGAAACAGGGTATATCTTGCTGGGTTCCTAGAAGTTGGTTGGGAATAACTCCCACCCAACCGAGAAGCCACAGACCAACCTCCCCAACTCTGTGCCATTCTGGGGACCTAACTTGGGAGTTGCTGTTTTGAAAACTACCTGGAATACTATAGAGGCACAGCAATACCAGTTATGGGGTGGTATTCACAGCCACAGATTCACAAGTTGTTCTTCCTATGTTGAGGGATACAGTTATAACTGATGTTTTCTTCTATGTGTTTTTTTTCCCATGTTCAGTAAATGTTTGATGTGGCTGATTTGCTTGACTTTATGACTGACTTATGGACCCTACATGACACTTGCAAAAAACCACTAACTTTGGGGGAAAACCATGAGTACCTGATGAAACCACTTAAGATAAGCTTTATCTGTTCTAAGCTGGTAAGTTTTACTTCATTTCCCATATTACACAATTTTCTCCCAAGGCAGCTGACCTCAGACAACATCTCTCTCAGATTTGCCAGAGTGATGGCTTATATACCACTCTTGCAATGCACAACAATATAAAGAAGATTTTAAACCACATTTTTTTAGAAGCTGTTGTAAACTGTTCAGATTCTTTATTTATTAAAAATGTGATGGAATGTGACAGCCTGTAAACAATCTTGCAGTTCTGTACTTTTCTGGAACAGAGTGCTCTGAACACTGTTACTCCACAAGGCAAAAAAGTAAGGTTAGGACAGAGCATGACCACTTACATGACTGTATGGAATCTTGTTGTTGTCCATCTCTTTTTTCCACAATTGGAGCAGCAAATTCCTGTACTCCTGATTGAAAGGTCCAGAGTAAGAAAGAAATCCAGTGGCCAGAAGAACATTCCCCACTAAATTAATAATTTGATTTTGAAAGTTTTTGCTGCTTGCTGTCCAACGAAGCTGTAAGTAAAAGATCATAAAGAATTTAGATTAGGCTGGTGAAAAACTAACAAAATCTAACTTAAGAATTTCTCTCTTTCTTGTAAGTAATTTTCTTTAAACCAGGAGTATTTTTTGGCTTTAAATCATTCTTTTCAGAAGTAGGTGTTTGCCTGGAAGATATAGCAACCACCTGACCAAGTGGAGAAAAAGCATCTTGGCCAACAAGCTGGCCAAACTGGTAATCAGTGCTTTCAAGAAGGAGCAAAGTGGGAGGGAGAGGATGACAGATCATCATGTGAAGAAGTAGGGGACTGGGTTGGTAAACAAAATATGTGGGTTGATATAAAGAGTGTGAAACTTGTAATGAATAAAACAGGGCTAATGGAGCACCAGCCCAATCATATCCACATAAACAAAGAAGTGCCTACTGGACAAAACAATGGGAATAGCTTTCATACCACTTCTGGGAAATTAGCACAGCAGGGCATCTCTCTGAAGTGCTTATACACTAATGTGCACAGCATGGAGAACAAACGAGGAATTAGAGACCTGCATGTGGTTGCCATCATGATCTCATGGGGAACATGGTGGGAAGGCTTCCACACCCGGAGTGCTGCATCAGGTGTACGCAGGCTGTTTAACAAGGACAGTGTCACCATTTGACTCAGCTCCAACAGACAGACTGGGAAAGTGAGGAGGGGAGAGTGCAGCTGGAATGCATGGGGTTCTGCTGTTAGGACCAGAAGAAATGGCCTGAAGTTGTGGCAGGGGAAGTTCAGATTGGATATTAGAAAGAACTTCTATACTGAAAGAGTGGTGAGGCACTGGAACAGCCTGCCCAGGGAGGTGGTGGAGTCAGCATCCTTGGAAGTATTAGTGAAATGTGTAGATGTGGCATTTCAGGGCATGATCTAGTGGCCGAGGCTGTCAGGGTTCTTTGTGGGTGGTTGTGTTGTGTGGGGTTTTTTGTGTGTTTTTGTTGTTGTTGTTGATGGTTGGACTCAGTGATCTCAGAGGTCCTTTCCAACCATGATGTTTCTTCTGTGATTCTGCGAACTAAGACTGGGATGGACAATGAGCCAATTAAGAGCTTATTGATTAGGATTAGAGGGAAGACCAAATGGGTGATTCTGTGTGTGCCTGTTTCAGACAATGTGATCAGGAAGAAACAGAGGATGCCTTTTTCAGGCAATGGGATTAAACCATGCATTCACAGGCTTTGGTCTACATGGGGGACTTTAACCACTCTGATATCTTCTGGAGGGACAACACAGCAAGACACAAGCAATCCAGGAGGTTTTAAGGAGTGCTCTGACAAGAAGGTCTTAGCCCAGGTAACTGAGGATCTAATGAGGGAAGGTGGTTTGCTGAACCTCAGACTTGCAAACAAGAAATAACTGGTCACAGATGTAAAGGTCAGCGGCAGCCTTAGTTGAGAAAATTTGAGATTGTTTAGTCTTAAGAACAGACATCTCAGGGAGGATTTTATCAATATGTACAAATACCTGAAGAGAAGTTGTCAAGATTATGAGGCCAGACTCTTTTCAGTGGTACCGAAAAAAAGGACAAGGGGCACAAATTGAAACCCAAGAAATTCCACTTAAAAACAGAAAACACCTTTTTAACAGTGTGAGTACTTAAAGACTGGAATGGATTACCAAGAGAGGTTTTGGGGTTTAGACATATTCAAAACCCAACTGGACAATGCCTGAGTAACCTGCTCTATTTGACCTTGCTTTGATAGGTGGGATAGATCATCTCCAGAGGTCTCTTCCAATCTTAATTATTTCATGATTGTGTGATTTTTATGAATAATATTTTTCAGTTCTACTTATTCCATTCTCTCCAGATTTCTGTTCCCTTCCAATAATTTTGCATGTAATGTTGGTCAGGACCTACATGTTTTACATTTGGTAAGCACACATTTAACTCAGTGACAGTTTTGTCCATGGCTCCAAGGGCCAGTGTTTTTATTTTTTGTCTGAATTTTCAACAGTAGAATGGAATAATGGATCTTACACACCTCATAGCACAAGGTTTCAGAAAACCCACAACCAGGCACTGTAATTTCCTATTTTGATGTTGCTCTTAAATTGAAAAATTCACTGAAAATAGGATAAAGCATCCAACATTTTGACTGGTATATTTTGAAGTACAGCTATGCAAACAAATGCTGAAGCCTCACAGGACTCAATGGCTGAAGTCAAAGCTCTCATCAATTTTGACTCTGTATGAAATTAACCAAGGAATTATCAAAGCAAATAATCAGTTTCCTCTGGAAACCTTTAGGCTGAAGCCAGAAAAATCAGCACAGGAAAGGTAAATTTCAAGCACAGTGCAGAGGATAATGATTAGCCCATAATTCTGTAAAAGGCTCCAGTAGAAATCTGAACTTCAAATATAGATCAGAATATTAGTCAAGCTTCAAATTCCCATTTTGTATACATGGTGAGAAAAAGAAAGTAATCCTTCTTATAACTATTTTCAGGCAATTATCTAGGTTAAGCCTAATTCCTCTTCTTACTAAAGCTAAAAGTAATTTGGTTCCTTGGTTTTAAAGCTAAAATAAATTTGGCTCCTTAGTTTTAAACCTGAACTTTATCACAATGTGAGTCATATGATGTAACGTGTATCTTCATACAGAAGAATTAAGTTTACACAATAAATCGCTTTACTTCATTAGATACATTAAGTTCAAGCAGAAAACACACACATAACTAAAATAAAGGTTCATACAATATTGAGATGTCACCATGCCTTAAATTTCTTGAGTATTACTAATGATCATTATAGAATATTCTTAAAACTGAGGACCTACTTTATGCTGGAAACCTACTCATATGGGCTAGTACCTTTTCTCCTCTTAATCCTTCAATCAGAGCTGTGGCATTGTTCATCTTCCTTCTGCATGCCTCAGCATCATCAATTAAGGTCTGCTTCTCTTTCATAGCAGTATCATACATGGCTTGTACTTGATCCAGTTCCATTTCCTTCTCATCCAGTTGAATTTGTGCATTATTCAGTTCCATTTGGGCAGCTTCAAGTCTTCCCTCTTGCAAGGCTAAATTGGCCTACAAATATTTACAAGTAAAGAGTAGCTAATACCTATTATTTGGCAAGGGCAAATCATATTAATTTAATGGCACGAATTGTACTGTATTGGATACTTTTAAAAAAACAAAACTCATTTAGGATGACAGCAGGGGTTTTTTTCATTTTTTACTTTTTAAACCTAAAACTGGAACACAAGTGTAACATTAAAAGTTATTCAATGCAATCTTCAAATGTTTTAATAATATTTTCAGACTGATCTTTTGATCACACAATGATTAGATATTTGAAATCTTAATACACTTAAAGTAGCTGTACACTAGTCATACGAGGGAACCCATCCCATGTTTTCTGTAATATATTCTCAGTGCAAAAGAAAATTAAGATCGTCCTCATGGATTACAAAATTATAATAATGATAACAGAAACTACTGTTCTCTATTTTCCCACCAATTACCTCTACAATTAAAATAAAACAAACACCTTTTTTGCTCCTCTAGAAACCACAAATCTAAATACTTTTCTCACATCTCTATATAAATTTGAATGACAAGTTGCTAGTCATTTATATGTGGCATCTTAACTAGTATATTCTTTAGAGAGAAAAAAAAGGTGTTCTGTGAATTCAGAATGTGTTTCCAAATATATGTTTGCAAAGGATTAGAGACTGACAAAGCTCTTATGAAATTCACACTTATAGATAAAGGTTGCTTCCATTTACTCTGAATGTTTTAAACACTTGTTTAAGTATGATGTACCTTATTCCTATTTTTTCTGCTATAAGCATTATGAAGTTGGAAACCAAGAATCTGTAAAAACTTTTATTATAAATACAAAACTTGAAACTCACATTACAACACAACAGAAGAGTTCCAGTAAAAGGAATCTCTGGGATGACTCTTAGTATAACCATGGGTTGGGTTTTCACATTAAATCTTGTCTAAAAATATAGACTTAATTATTAACAAAATATCCTAAAATCTACAAATTCTTCTTGCTTTGCATAGGATAAAACAACCAAAAATAGAGGACTGAAGATCATGGTTTGAGATCTAGGCATGAAAAAAAAATGCAGCATGAAGCCTGGTGGGGTTTAAAAGATAGATCCATGAGGAGGGAATTAGGGAAGCACATCTGTACCAATCGACAAAGTAGTACTGCTTTACAAGTTACACGTGTAGAGAACAGCAGTGTCAGCAAAAAAAATTGTTTACCATAGCCACTGTTTCTGTTGACAGTTCCTAGAGATAAACAAATATCTTACAATGGGGATAAGCCAGCCAAATGGCTGCTCATAAAAATTCCATCCTGTAAGAATACTGAAATATTTTTACTCTGCTGTTTATCAAAGAGTACATTAAACAGAATCTCCTAGAGATAAACCCTGTTAAATCAGTGAGTCTTGTTAAGACTCAGCTAAGCAGATTTCAGAACCACTGCTGTAATTTTTAGTGAATCATACACTACCAGGAGATGTTTAAACAGTAAAGGAGTTTTGAGTAGGTAATGCAGTGTTACTCTGTCCTGCACTGGAGAAGTGGAAGAAAGGTAAGATACAAGAGTGAGAGTGCAAGAGAGATAGAGTGTGCAGGGCACTTTCTGGATCTTAATAACAAATGGCTTAATAAGGTAACTGCTTTAAAAGGACCCATAATGTGGAAAGGAACATAGACAGTGGGTAAATCTTTCATCCCTTCAGATGCTGGGCACCCCACACTCATGCAACATCAGACAGAGCCTGAACAGATTTTTCCCGTGGCGTGCTGTGCAGAGCAGATGCTGTTCATGGAGAGAAAACTCTCTTTTGGTCATTTCAGCTACTATAAACTCCTCTTATTCTGTCTTATTAAAGCAGTTACTTTATTAAGCTGCCTGTAGTCAAGCCTTTCTTACTAAGATCAGAAAGAGCCCTGCACCAGCCCTCACTCTCTCCTACCTCACCCCCGCCCCTCCTTCCTCCGGGCCTATCATCCTCTTATCCTAAACTCTGCGAGGGCTAAAAATGGGAGCAAAACAAAGTTACTGCATATTGCTTCACCCCCAGTTGACAAGTATTGAGGTTACACAGGGAAAAAGTTCCTTGGAGAGTCTGGAAATACAGCCCAGGCAGAGCAGCTGGAACAACAGAGAACTTACACTTGGCTGTGTTGATCCATATTTCACCCAGACATTCACCAGAGCAGGACATGAACCTCAATGGAAAACAGTGGCCATGTGAATTTCCAATACATATGAGCAATTATGCCTTATAAATGTGAAAAATAGATCTCAAAGCAGCAATAAACTAGCCAGAATGGTACAAAAAGACTGGTAAAATAGACTTCCCAGTTTTTTAAAAGCTCTTAAGAGGGTACCAACTTTGAAGATGTAGGGACAAAGAAAAAATATTTCAGAGAAGTACAAAGAAAAAATATATTGTACTCTAACATGAAAAAAAAAAATACAAAACTGTACACAATTTTAAAAATATTACTTATAATGAGAAATTATTTTACAGACAATTTACCCCAAAATTTAGGGTAATCATAACAAAGTAGCAATACATTTTGGTATTAGTTTGATTTGTAGGCTGCTTAATGTTACGTGATGAATAATGGATGGTTACACAAGAATGAGTTGGAACACACCAGGATGACCAGCTTGTGTGATTCCCAAAGGCAAAAAGCCCACTTGCTTCAGATTACACTATGAAATCATCACTATTTTCTCTCTCCCCGTCCTTCTTTCCAACTCCATTTTTCAAAATTACATGGGTCCAAACACTGCTTTTTTATCGACATGACTGGCAGGTTTGCTGGCAGCTTCCTGGGCAGAATTTTGCCATGATAGTAGGAGGCAAGTTTTGCTGCCAAGGAGAATCTTCTACACAAGGAGCCTATTATAGTCGCAAGCAGCTTCATACAAAGATTTCCAGCCAATTACAGGCAGGAAAGAAATGTGTCTCCCAACCACAAAGAACCACTGTAGCCTTTCTAATTTTAGTGGCATTGCTATGTGAACAAGCTTCACACCCTTCATTTCATCCCTCTGAGTCATGCAGCAAAGCAAGGATTCACAATTTGTTCCAGCTGGATGCAGTGTGATAGCCTGAATAAATGGATTTATGTGAATGAATCATGAGGATTCAAGACATGAGATCCACACTCCTATCTGCACTCCTGGAGAGGGGGGAGCCTACACTAGAACGTGCCTAAGCTTGCATGAGAACAGCAGCTTCAGCCTTTTTTTTGCTATTGGCATTGTGGAGAACCAGACAGACAATCCTCTCAACATCTGCTCCAGCCATTGTCTCTACCTGCCCCATGCCAACAGATGCAGAGAGCAAGTATGGGGGCAGTACCTGTTCCAACAAGGGCCACAGACTAACTTGTTAAGCAGCTACTTTGACTTCTTCCGAGATGCCCTCACAGAGGACTTCATAGCAGCTGGTGAGATGATCCTGGCCCTTTTAACCTTTTTGCATTCCACATACAAACTAGGACAAATAAACACATAATTACAGACCACAGTTATACTGCTATATTTAACATGCCCAGGACCTTTCTCTGGCACGGAGGTTAACCAGTGTGAAAGAGCTCACATTAAGCTCTCCCAGCCTCTAAAACAGCACGGCTGCATGCAAACAGCCTTGTGGAAATGGCCCTTGGACCAAGCTAGTTCCTGAAATGTGCCCAGAGATTGCTGAGAAAATGCTGCTTAGCCAAGACCAAATTCACACTAGGGGATCATTCTAACAATTTAATTGTGCAGATGATCGCTGTCCCATGTCTAGAAAAATTAGCCAGTACTGTTCAATTTATTAGTATTGACATAGCCATAAGTTTCTTGTTGCTTTATTGCTAATTCAATTTTGCAAAGCACCAAGTATATCTGGCCCTGATCCAAGAAAGCATTTTAATAAAAATGCCTTCTCCAATAAAAAACCTCACACAATTCAATGCTACCCCTGCTCTTGAATGGAACACCCAGACCAACCCCAGATCACTCTGAATTCAGGAAATGTTATTACAAGTAGGAGAACCTGTCATTTAAAAAAGCAGCCAAAATTTTTACACTTCACCACAGGTAAGGAAGATTCAGAGCTTTCCTTGCATCTCTTGTTTCAGGAATTTTAGCTTTCCAGATTCACTGCTCAGTGCAGTTCATTGTACACTCACTACTGCTGGACCAGGACAGAAGGCTTCTTGTGTTTGGGCACTGCCACTCATGAGTCTCTGTGTATGTGCTGGGTGACCACCCTTCCTTTTTGCTTCAGTCCTGTCCTGGGCACATGGCATCTGACTGACAACTCTGTGTAGAAATGTAGCATCAAGATGCTCCTGTCCTAGACCGCTGCAGATTTTTCCTACAGGCACACCACTGGTTTTGTATCAACTTCCTCAAGGCCTCAACATCACAGTAAGTTGGATTAATCAGTATTTAAGAAAACATTATAAGAGAGGCAAACACATACACAGGTTTTGCAGACATTCCAAAACCAATGTTTTCTCTTCACTAATCTAAAATAATTACACATGTAACATATGTATGCATATATACATGTGTACGCATGCAAACAGATCCATGCAGTGTGACATTAACAGAATCTTAACCCAGAGTTCTTTGCTATCACTGACTATTCTTTGGAATAAAACAACCTTTGAGTTACACAGAGGTCATTCCTCTTACTTGCTTTTCACAGCCTCTATCAGCTACTGAAAGATTCTTCACTTTTTCCCTTCAATTACATGTCCTGACTTTAAATCTGTGTTGTTAGGTGATCTAATCCTTCCCTTTACCCTCCAGAAGATGTACTTCCTTCCACAATTATTGTGGGCCTTGAATTCAGATTTGAATGCTTGCTTTTCTGCTCACTGGGGATCACTTTGACAAGGACACACTTATTTAAATGGATGACCATCAAATTTTGACACTCCTTTACTGTTACCTCTTCCTCAGATGCAAGATTCTTTCTTGTTGCCTGCTGCCATGAATCCTCAACATCAAACAGAATTTATAAACTGTAGACAAACTTCCTTTGATTATCATAACAGCCTAAGGAGAATGTAATTAAAATCACTGGAGACATCTCTAAGGAAGATTATACTCCTATAGACAAGTATTTTAATTGGAGACTAACAGAACCACAGCAAAAGCCAGGGCTGCTTCATTCCGCTGTTGTATTCTTCAACTAATGGATAAATAATAGATGGTATTTCATAGTTATTAGGTTAATGCAGCAGGCTTGTTTACCAGTTAATGAGCTAAAGAACAGCTCATGGTCAAGCTGAAGCTTATAAGAAAGTACCACACACATTGTGACCACCCTATGACAAGAAATTACACAGCATTGTATTTGCAGGCAAAGCTTGGTGATACATTCTGTGTTGATTCTAAGGCCCTCAGGTTATAGGCCACATATCCAAAGAATGTGGGCATCCATTTCTAGGAATGAGTTAATTTTTGCACACTATATTTACTAAAATGTAAGTCACCTTTAATTAGTTTTCATAAATTGTCACATTTAAGATAAATGAGGTTTGAGCCTCAGTTAAGATGCAATTTAAAAATATATTGGATGGATTTTGCAGGTGTTGAAGGGGGTTTATCTCCTAGAACAGCAGTTAGGATAAAGCAACTTGATTAATTCATTCAGTAAAACTGCTTTTAGCACTGGGTGATTTAACCCGTGCTAGTACTTTATGCAATTTAATTGTACATTTATTTTCAATTATTTTCTTAGTGTCACTCCAGTGCTTCCTGCAGTACCTCTTGCATATTTTAAACACTTCCTCCTTCAGTCATCTGCAGCTTTAAAATATTTGTAACTGTTGCTATACCTGACAATAGGCACTACTTTCTTGAGAAATACATGCTCAGTTTTTTATCAGCTACAGTGAGACAAGAAGGTAAATACTGGAATACAAAGTTAAATTATATGTAATTTTAGGTCATATATATTCAAATAAAACCTGCAAGAGCACTTTTGCAGCTTTAAGAGTTGCATCTGCATATAAGCCACTATTTCCTCTAGGTCTAGCTCTCTTTTATAGCTTTCAATAGCTGCATTTCAAATTCTGTTTTCATTAGTGAACATGCCATTATTTGAAAAGAGAATTGCTACTTATATATCACAAAAGTATACCCTTCTCTATCAGTTACTGAAACAAAAAAATCATGCTTTTAACAAATTTGAGTCAGATCTGTTTAGATTTATTAAAAGAATATGCCAAGAATATACCATCGATACATTGGCTCATACAATAGGAGCCTGAATATAAGTATAGTGGAACATAACCAATTGAATGCATTTCTTCAGAAAAGAGCCATAAAATCCCCTGTAAAAGAAGTGATTATAAATCACTATATAAATATTCAAAGTCCTTTCTTTTTTTTTTTTTTTTCAATATGCTCATAAATGAAGCATTTCCAAGGCAATAAAACTACCTGTAGGAAAGCAGATCGGAACGTTACAATGGAATTCTATGCCAGGTGACTACTTGCTTTATTATACATACACTCATATGTAGTAGATTGAGACACCAAAGTGTTCTTAGAGAGTTTAATTCCAGCTAAATTCATTAGAGTGCTTTGGTGCCAAGAATGATCTCTCCTCTCTTAGATACCACCAAGACCACAATGAATATGGTCCTTCCCAGGCCAGTAGGATTGGAACAGTTTCTTGAAACTGTGGTGCCTGACACCAAGTCAGAGATTAGAGACAGCATCATTATCTCCCACTGCAGATAGCTAGGCTCTATAAAGAACCTGTGTACTAAGGATCCCATTGAAAACAGACTGTGTTCTCACTATTAACAACTGTACCACAGAGTAGCCATGTAAAAGAAAAAAAATTGCCAGGACACATCCAGCTTCTGTGCACTTGACTTCACTACTGGATGTAAGGAAAAAAGAATCTCTTGTGACTCGTTATCTTTTTTTAGCCAAAGCAACACAATATTTTTCCATTCAACTATAGCCATTCCTTTAAGGAAAAAAAAATAATCATAAAAAATTAAATACCTTAAGAGGAAGAACTTCTTTATTAATACCATAGAAGTAAGCCATTGCTTGTGTCCATGAGCAAAGACCTGCTACATTTCCACACACTTTCTTAGCAGTCTCAAGATTATAATCCTCCATATCCAAATAAGGCTCTAAAAGCTCCACAGTTTCTCCTGTAATTGAGTCCTAGTCAATGGAATGGAAAAATTATTTTTAATGGATTTTAGAATAAAGTCTGCTTCATAGAAACACTTTATTTTTCAAAAACATGATGCTACCACTTTACAGAAGAAATTAACAAAACAATACTGTTGCCTTTCACTCTTAGAAATGAGAAAAGATCTGTTGTTTTTTGTGAACTCAAACGAAAATACCTCCTACATCTATTGCAACAGATTGACTTAGGTTTGCATTTAATATTCATATTTGTCCCATAAGATTTACAAACATTACTTGTGCTCACAGCTCCATGAAAACTTTGAAGTTACTGCTACTACAGCACTGTACCTTCTTTCCGCTCCCCCTCAACCAGATGTTCTTGTTCCCTCTTTAATACCACCACCAATGCTCACTGAGCTAGTTGGAAGCTAGTATGAGACAAATCTAAGTCAGCAAACTAGCAATTAGTTTTACTCTAGGCAAGTTCCCTGAACAAGCTCACCGTGGCACCACACAGGCACCAGAATGGACAAAGCTAAGGGAGTCAAATATGCAGCTTTAGGAAGGAATAGAATGAAACTGCAAGCCACTCACTTCACTAAAGCTAACCCTTTTCCTTAAGTGTAAGAGTAATTTCTTTCAGCTGTTCACTTTATTATTCTAATCTCAGATTTTTTTTTCCCCCCTTCACAATCTGTTGAGAACATGAGAAGCCAGATCTTTGATGATGGTGGTTAATCTATAATTAAGTGTTAGAAGAAAACTGAATTCATCTCCTTAAGCAATGGAGAGAGAACAGCTTATACAGGGTAACAATGGTTGCTTAACAACAGAGGCATTAAGAGTCTTCCCTTTTTTTGGCAATGTATTAATGTCTTTCTTTTAATGCATCTAAAAATCATCCTCCATTCACACTGTCAAGTGATATACCCTTTTCCTGCTTTTCTGCATAGCAGAAAAGTCTGCCTTGTCTGATCCCTAGCTACTAAAATAACAACATTCATTACACTATTGCTAAGATAAGACATGGTGATGTTTTCACTATGAGCACTTGCTAAAATGTACAGTAGTGCTGAAAAAACATTTTGACTTTTTCATTCTCTCACACAAAATTATGAGCTAGAAAGTTGTCAAAGGTGAAGGAAAGACCAATCAGCAGTGGTCTGAATCTCTTTTCAAGAGCTTGAAAAATGACATGCCGTGACAGCCTTCTAAGTAACAAATTTTAAACCCAAGGAACTATTTCATCCAGTAATCTTCCTTGCTTTAAAAACTTAGGAAAGAAACAAAATCTCACAAACAAGTAAGTAGTGTAGATGACACCATGACAAGATGAGCTTTCTTCTCATGTATACTCATCCTTAGAAACAAAAAATGAGGCAGGAAGTCGGCATGCAAAGGGCCTCATCAGATACAGAAGTAGTCTAGTGCTCTTCAGCACATTCATCAGTATCACTTCCTGCCAGAACTCAGTCTCACAGACTGTTCTGAGTCCTCTGAGTAAAGTTAAATGTGTTGCAAACTGCCAGCAGGGACACATACACTGTTAGCAAGTGCCAAAACTGGAAGCCTCATTAGAGCTAAGCTTGAGTCAGGAGTGCATAATTAGTCCCCAATTTTTTTAAACTCATTTCCTCTTTCTATTTAGCAAAGATAGGACTTGGAAAGGTGGCCAGACAGAAAAGCCCCACGAAGTGACTGTCCACAGAGGCAGTTCAAGTGTCCACATGGTGCCCTGTCAATATTGCTGGCTCACTGGGAGAAACAGCTCCTGGGGATAGTGAGAATCATAGTTTCCAGCCTCATCTGCACAATGAAAACACTCCAGTAGCTTGGAAAAGGCATCAGTAAAATGCACAGATGAAGCAGATTTAAAAAATCAGTGTACAATTTAAAAAGTATGTTCTGCAATAGTTCAGAAAACCTAGGTTTTGCAAAAACCTGCCAGGTTTTCTGGATTTTAAACTTGGGGGGCTGTGATTCTGCCATTCCGCAGTCCAGCCTAGCTCTTTTTCTGCTCTATTTTCCAGTTCCCTGTGACATTTCTGTGTTCCCTGCAGAGAAATTTCCCTTGACTCACAGCCCAGTGAATCTTGCTGTAAACAAGACAAACTTCTGACCTGACACAAAGAAAGACCTGTGTTTGCTTTTATATTTTTGTTATAGTTGATATTAAGGTTCTCAGTTCTTTCTCATTTCACTACTTTTCCACTGAAAGAACCCTGAAAGTTCCCCAAAAGTATCAATGTTTTTTCTGACAGGAACCCAATTTTCTTCAGTACTTCCTCCTAGCTCCCCAACAAAACAATTCTGGACACAAGAGTTCTGGAGTCCCTTATGTACAAACAGGCCTGGTAGCACTGGAAATGGTGGGACATTTGAAAAATCAAATTAGTCCTTCCAAGGCAAATTCCCACTGAGCAGCAGGAACTACCTGAGTAAAGATAACACTAAGCTTCTCTGATCTAGTGCTTAGGATATTTGTGTCTGCCACCAAAGCCATGTTACCCAGGAGAAAGATTACTGAAATAATGAATCATGAAAATGGAGATAAATGCGGTCATGAAGTTACCTACAACTCTAGATACACAAAAGCCTCATCTGTTTCAAACTACCTTTGAAGGTAGAAGACACTTTCACATTATCTCTACAGATAGTTATAGGAGTAATAACACCCTTACTAACTTTTTACCTTCTGGAAAGTAAGCAACATGCTGAGAAATCCTGAATTATTCATTAGCTTCAGAGCTTCAGTCCATGACAGCTTCACGCACTGACGTTCTTGATCCGGTGTTACCAAGTCTATTTTTCATTGGAATAAAAGCAGCACACAATCCATAATCCGCATAATCAAATGGGGAGGTTTCCCTAGTTTGCGAACAGTTGCGATATCAGAAGGTTTTATTGTCTGAAAAAACTGAAAGAGAAAATCATCCGTTTATTTTAGCAACTTCCTGATGGCAGCAGAGATGGTTTTGGGGAGGACTGTGTATGTAACGCAAACGCCACCGTTTTGTAGGTAAGCCAGAAACAGTACTGCAAAGAGTCCTCAAAGGCAGTCCCATTCAATGACTGCTTTATTAACTGGGGCAGAGGAAGTACTACTCACCTCACCTCTCCACTGCCTCATTTTTCAGGTGTTGTGCTCTTTTTTTCTACAAGGATTAACAGATCAGTGCTAGTCCTTACAATAGTACTTTTTTCAGATCAGAAGCATAAGCTGCATTATTACAAATAACCACTATTAACTACATGCATGTTCAGAATATCTTTGGTTCTGACCTGCAGGGCTGCCTCAGCTTCTTCCAAGGCAGGTCTTGCAGCTTCAAGCTTATTTTCTGCTGCTGCTTTATCAGTAGCAATGTCATCCACAATGGCCTGAGCCTTGTCTTTCACCTTTTGCACCTGCATTTTCACCTTTTCGGCAGCTTGGGCTTTCATGGTTACTTCCAATAAAACTTCATCAGCTTTTTTTGAAGCCACAGCTAAATCTTTCTCTTTCATCATCAATTCTTTGGAGAGTTGGTTTACTGAAACCTCAGCTTCCATCAGTTTTGCAAGACCTGTGTTGAAAAAATTCAATTTTAGCTATAGGAAAACCTATTTAGAGTGACATGTCAGTGGAGCAATCTGTCAGTCACTCAGATTCATGGTCAGGAACCCCAGGGAGAGATTCTGGGTTTTGAACACCAAAATTAAGCAGAAACAATATCCATTTGCTATTTAAAGCTTTGTCTTTTTTTTTTTTTTTTTTTAATGGGTAAGAGTCTTCAGAATCTGTCACACTTGATCACTTCTTATGTATGAGAGGGACACTAAATATTAAACATACATATTGAAAAGCGTTAGCATTGTGAATGGCACTCTTAAGAATCATGTGGGCAATTTCAGAAATCCATGAGACCATAAGAAGTACCAGAGTGTACTCTCTGTATAAAACACAGAGGAGGAATCTGACATCCTGAGAAATGCAAGTGAAGTCACAAGGTAACTAGGCTGAGATGTTAAATTCAACATTGAATGAATATCCAGATGAGGGTAGAGTAAAAGAAACTAAAAATTCTTGGGCAATGCAATGTTTCAAAAAATTTATCAAACTATGAGAAAGTCACCAAGAAAAACTGTAAGTATAAAAATCGATACATAGGAATGCATGCATCTACATGTAAATGCATCATGTACATCTTTCTAACCCTCAAAAAAAGCCTGTGTTCCTTCCAGGCACCCAGCCATACTCTGTCTATGGAGATACATGTCCATAGGTCAGTTCTGCAACAGGCAATAGCAGGAGAAGAAACAGTTTAAATTCACATTCACCTCCAAGCAGCATTCAGTTTCAAAAACTGTTTATTTACTGTGCGTGATCTTAGGCAATGCAATATATGGAAATTTTATATTTGCCATATAACTTTCTTTAAAATATTCCTCAGAATGACTGAATCTGACCAGTGAAGTCACTTTCTCTCAAATTTATTTTTAGCACATTTGAACGTGAAAACTAGGAGCTCACTATTTCCTTGGCACATGTACATGTACACATATCACAGCAGGAGTTTCAAGTAATTTCACTGCTAACTAATACTACGTTAAAAACTCATCTTCAAGCTGCATATTCCAAAAAGTTGAATGAAAAAAAACAAACCTCCACATATTTCATAATCACAAGCACAGATGGAAACATGTAAGTCTGCTTCCAAAGGAAAGTGAGCTCACAAGTTAAATCCATACTTTTACACTCTTTACTCAAATTCCTGTCACCTATTAAAACAAAACAAAACAAAAAACCACACAAAAAAACCCCAAACAAACAAAAAAACAGAAATAAAAGTCAAACAGATTTTACAGTACCTGTTCTCATGCGTTCAGACAAACTTCCAACACTGGCAAATTTCTCTTTGTAAATTGATTTGTAGCCTCCAATGAAGGACAGGTAAGATTTTGGAGTCACAAAAGTTCGTCGCCTGTATCGTTCAAAGTATTCAACACATTTTTCAGCTACAATATCTTGAAATGTTCCCATGGTGCTAACAACACTCTGCTTCACTTCATCTGTGCACTCAATATGGTAGGAAACTAAAAAATGCTGTGCAACTGCTACGAGAGCATCTTTAGGCCAGCGCTGGAACCAGTCCATGGTACAGCCTGAAATCAGACCTGGAAACTTGAGTGCACGAGTTCTGAATTTTTCCCCAACAGGAGAAAAGCAAAGAACAACATGCAGGTTATTACGAACTCGAGCAAGAAAGTAATTATAAAGATTTTCACTAGTGGCAGCATGCCTTGGATACTCCTTCTTCATTGCAGGTATCAGGTCTTGTGTGATTTCACCTATTTCATCTCGTGCAAAAAGATTTGAGACTTCACCTGAAGCCAAAATGTTGTTCATGTACTCAAGAAAGGATTCATCTCTGATTTCATTGTCTGTGAATATAAAGACAACGCCCTTTCCTTTTTGCCCAGCGGTGCGGTACAAGATTTTCAGATCATCCAAAAGGTTACTGGTGGCATATGTTCTGGGATAGAAAAGGATAAAAGAAAGAGAGAACAAAAATTCCAGATCATTTTAGGAAATATCTGGAAAGATCTGGCTCAGATTCCTTAATGCAATAAAAAAATCTACGTAAGAAAATACCATATCTCCTGCTTCATTTTTTCAGTTTGCTTCTTCAACATTTTTCCAACTGAATGATCAGTACCAAAAATCACAAGAAAGGAAATGAAATCAACAGAATAAAATGCTGGAAGAAAAGATGCTAAGAGCAGTACTTTGTCTAAGTTAATTATGCTGCTTTGCCTCCCTACATTCTGCAGACGTAAACTCTGTTAGAAGTGAAGGTTAGTACAGCAGGATTAAGTTGCCAATTCAGCTTTGATACCTGTAATCATTAAGTAAATAGAGGTGGATTATCTTTTGAAGATACTGAAAGCAGGTTAAAGAAAATCATTAAGAGACAAGAATAAGCAAGACTGAGGGTTTATTGTGTTATTTTGTTTTAACTGAGATCAAGTTCCAAAATAGATGTTTCAACATTACCACTTGGGCTGATTAATTCTCCTGCAAATAGAGACCATTACCGTTTTTTTAATGTACACCTCTTACAGCTGGTGCATACTGGTGAGGTTCAGGTGAAGTCCATGGACATTCAACAACAGATTTCATACTATACAATATCAAATTAAGTAAAATAAGGTTAATAAAATGGCAGATATTGTCCCTTATGTTATTTGCCAATTAAGCTGAAGTTAAGAACTTCTTTTCTTTGAAACCAGTTTCCTGTTTCTAAGAGTTGAAGTATGTTCAAAGTCATAAGCAATACTATCAATACTCAGGTCCCATTCTTCAGTATTTTAAAACAATACGCTATTTCGAAATTAATTATGCCCTATAGAACATCTCCCAGTTCTAATCCAGTTCCATCTTACCATTGCTGAATAAATATCCCTAATGCAAGCACTGAAGAACTTGTAAAACAATCTAATTCCTCAGTTTGCATGTGTCTGCTGCAGTTCTTACAGTGATTTGTGGTGTTAGGATACAAACATAAGAATTTCTCTGCTGAGTCAAAACCATAGAATCGTCTAGGCTGGAAAAGACCCTTAACATCATCAAGTCCAACCAACTACTATCCAGCCAGAATAGCAGGCTACCTAGGAAGGTTTCTCAGCATGTTGAGCAGTTTGCAGAGTGAAATACACACTGTCAGCTGTCAGTTCTTACCCCCTGTAAACCCTATGTCAAAGGAGAAACGGAGAAGACAGGAGTTACTCCCAGTCACTTCAGATTTTTAAAAATTTCTAAATTCCAGCACTATGCTCTTAAGTCATTGATAGCAGGCGTAATAAGACAGTCTTGGTTCATAAGCCTCTATATAAAATGTTACTATTTCCCTTGACCATCAGCATTTGCCCACTACGCAGAACAGATCACATTATTACATATTATCTGTAGTGCAAAATGGTATTTTAGTGGGACTTCACAAGGGTGCATTGCAGACTCAAATGCTGAAGGAAAGACAGATCTCTTGTCAATAGCATAAAGGCAGCAAATCATAGACCTGGCATCTGTCATGTATAGATTGTGCATTTGAGCAGATGCTTTTGATTGAAAACGCAGTTTACAATGAGGGATAAAATGTTTGACAGACTTGCATTTCTTTAAGTTGACTATGAGATGTTTATTTCTACAGCAAATTAAAGAGCTAATATCTATGTACACTGCATTGTGTTACCTTGTTAAAGTAATCTGATAGCTCTCATATCCAGCAATATATGATGCTAGTCTGGTCAGACTCTGTTTTCCAGATCCACCCACACCCACCAACAATGCATTTCCTCGCGGCGTACGAATAATCCGTGATATTTTAATCAAATGGATGATTGCATCCTGGGTATTGAGACAAAAGGGATGAAAGCATGTAAAAATAACAATGTATATTCAGCTAGAAGCACACCACTAGGTAACTGCCTCTTAACAGCTACGTGACTTCTCTGGAGCCTATGCCAAAAACTCAGTCCTGTACTCATAAAACCCCAAAAACATATCCCCCTGCCTTTAGTGGATGTCAGACCTAGCCCAAAAGACATGTCCTTGTATCAGGCTCATATCAAGCAATGCCATATGCAGTGTTTGTACTTAGCAGAGCTGAGGACATGTCCCTTAGGGACTGTAGGAAAAGTATAAAGTATGTGGATTAACACTCTGGCCCATCCTTTCAGTTTAGCTATATAAAGTACACTACAGACATTTCTTATTTCACTTCTGTATTTATCTTAGTGCAAAAATTAATTTGAAATGCCCCAAAAATCTACCAAATCACCCAGTTTAAAGCCGAAGAAAGCATCATGGATCAAGAGACCTTTGAGAAGGAGATAACTTTCAGAGATGCAAGATGACATTCACACTGTAGAAACAAATTAACTGAAAGAGAAGATGGGGTACTGCAAATAGATAGAATAATTTGAGAAAACAAAGACAGATGAGAGACAGCAGCATGGTTTTATAGAGCATTTGTAAGGCTCAGTGGATACAGGGCTAGACATTCTGAGCTATCTCCAAAATGATTTTATAGAAACACACAAGATCCATGCATCAGCAAGTGCAAAAGACCTGCCATTTTCTGTATTAGTATAATTAAAGGCACTAATACCTTGAAAAATACCAAATCCATCTTTGATCCTCTGATGGTTTCATTGTACTGTTGCATGAACATTTGTAATCTTTCAGCCAAATAAACCAAAGATGGGGTAGGCTCATAAATTTTAGGAGCCTTCAACTCTGCATCATCAGGCTCATCTCCAGTAGCTTCTGGGGCATCGCGCAAGAAATCCACAAAGAATGATTCTGTTGACTCATCTCCAAATAGATCTTGACCATGTTCTGCAGAGGCAATCTACAACAATACATTAAGGATTGCTTCAGTAATTCGACATTTCATGGACCTCTTTCTGTGGAAAATACTAGAAAACTATTTACCTACCTTTTTCATCACATCTTCAAACCATTCTTTATCACTTTGGCTGATGAACCTGTCTGCAATAACACGTCTGCATTCATGCTGGAACAAGGCTACCAAAACACTGATGCTCTGGCAAACTTCAGAAGTAACTGCAAGCATTCCTTGCCAAATACGACTGAGGTCCCGTAAATTAAAGATGTAATGAAATTTAGCTGGAGTTGGTAACATCTAGAAAATAATCATAAGCTACATTCAAATAACTACTGTATTTTCTATCTAGTATGATATGAATATGGAAGTTTTCACAAACTACAAAATCCACATTGCATTAAAGCAGAAATACAGGCCTGGCATTTAAGGGGCAATGATAAAAATGAAGACATTACAGTAGCAACAACAAGTCCTTTAATTTCACATAGATTTCACTAAAATTCCATTGAATCTTTCAAGCTCCAGGAACATGGACTGAAGAGTAGCCAAGGCAGGTTAGCTAACGATGGCATTAAAGACCACAGTAAAAATGTCAGCATTGCTTAACCTGTGGTGTTGCTTCTGGCCTTTCCTCCAGACCATTTCTGTTTCTCTCCTGTGTCCTTTGCACGAAGATGTGAGGAAAAGCTCATGAGGAAAAGGAAAAGCAGATGAGTAAAAGCAAAGAGAGCAGAAAAATGAGAAAAGGTCTGAAAAAAATTAACAACTTAGCAATTTTCACTACATTTTCACTATAGACAGTTAATTAGAAGTAATGATTTCTGTTGAATATACTGGTCAATAGTTGGCTGATCAATAGCTTCACTAGAACTCTTTATTTCTCTGTATAAGCCAAATTTATGTTTACCCTTGAGATGACTGAGAATTTCTGACCAACCTTTTTTGGACAGGAAAATATAATTTATAAGATCCCTGTCAATCCCTCTTTCCTTCACTCTCCACCACTTTTTTCACTAGAAGATTAAATTTTGCACACATTTCGATGCTGTAATTTTACCATAACCTTTCAAATTTCATTTTACACATACATTTTATTTTCTATTTCAGAGCAACATTTGCTTAGGAATTTCAGTTAAATGTTTTTTAAATCTGTTTGAAATGGAAGAAGTAAATATTTAGAATTTACTAAATGCCAGATTTCATTTCTTTTAAACTGATGCCCTCCCTGACAAATCTGACTTCCTTCCTCTAACTCAGATCTTTAAAGTGTCTCACAATCCCAAATATCTTTACAGAAGATTCCTATCTAATTTTTAATTTATGGTTCCTTATGCCCTTGACATTTTCTCAACCAGAAGACCACTAAATCTTCCTATCAGCTATGCTTACTATATTATACTTACATAATTTATTTTTTTATTAGCCATAGAAGGCACTGCATATAATCACGTTTGATTCAGCTAACTGGGTGCTGATAGCAACAAATTCAGAACAGAGGCATCGGCCAGCAGTTATGGATACAGGTCACAGCTTCACAATATGAACTGTGACCACACGTGGCCTGTACAAAAGACCTGGGTCTTGTTACTTTGTCATGGTACAGGTGTTTCAAAGGCTTCTCGACAGACATAGTTTTACCTTGGCTTTTGTTGTTTGCCAAACCTTTCGAGCTGTAGATACTAACGCTGAAGCCAGTTTACATATTTCTGTAGGCTGTGTTCACAGAAATAGCCTTCTGCTATTGTTCGAAATATTTTGTCAACAGAGGAACTGGAGGGCAGTGTGCAGTTGTAGATGGTGAACTGGCGTTTCAGGCGCTGCGGGATGTCATTCCAACCTCCTCCAGGGTGAATCATTGCAGCTACAAACTGGGTGTCGACTACATTGGTGAATTCTCCTGGCTTCTCCAAATTGTAGAAACCTTTCTGTTCCATCAGCTGTCTTACAATCTCATTGGTGATCTAGTTATCACCAAAATAAAAGAGAAACAGAGTGGGTAAGTATTTCAGAGTTCTCAACTTTAAGAAAAGGAAAGAAGAAATCTCCAGTATAATAAGCTGGTAGACAGAAAGACATCTCTTATTTTTCTTAATTTCAGTTACACGTCTAGACACTTTAGCAATTTATAAAGTCGTGTGACATGGCATTAAGCTTTCTGATGCAGTGCATTGGCTGCATATAAGCTTCATGTGCTAAGTAGTTGTGGACTTCAGATCACATTCAATTGTATTTCCATAATATAAGTGTAAGAAAATTCAGCATTTTAAAGTTTCATACCAGATCATATATTCAGATTGCCACAGGTGCTCAGATGGTGACAAAGAATGGTTAGTTTAGCCCAAAATATAGTCATACATTCACTTGTATAGAGGCAGTGAGTGAAGAGGACTATAGAGCTACAATGAGAGCAAGAAAATTACTTTTTCTCAGTAGTATTTTTTTTTAAGTCAGATTTTCAGAGTATAGGCTTCTAAGTATTCATTCATCAATATCCCAAGACATGTCACTAGTCTGGATGTCAACTGTGACACTAGATTTCATCTAATAATAACTGTACTTTAAAGTCCATAGAGGATGAAAGAAGGATCTAACTGCTTCTTGGATTCACACGCTTCCTTTTCTAGGTTGGTTCTTAGTACAGCTAATTTGGAAATTCTGCATGCTCTTTATGTAACCAAAGCAAAAGGCTTATAAGGCACAATGACTGCACCAAGTGGCTTGATGCTGACCCTAATATTTTGGGACTGACAGCTTACCACTCTTAGCAAAAACTGGCTTGGGGAAATTTCTTTTAGTAGGCACGCTGTGTCTGGTCCATATTATACTACATTTTCCATAAACTTTCTTATTTTCATAACTCACATATCAGCATTTGCCCCAGCAGCAATGGTAAGGCCACCAATTCCCAAGTATCAACATTTTATTTTTACCTGATCACCCCATTCATTAATCACAGGCATGTTTATGTCATCAATAAAGACAGTCATTTTCTTCCCTGCAGGAGGACCGTATGTGGTGCCCATTCTTTTACCTATGTAACTTTCTATGCTCCTCTGGAACATAATTGGCAGAGTTTCAGAAGAAAAGTTCAGGCATTTGGTCAAGTGAACACCAGGATCATACTTGCTTGTGTAATCCTGCAAGATAAACCAATTTTAAGTAAAGTGCACCAGTAACTCCAGATGAATTCAGTCAAAAGGAGATGCAGATTCTCAGTAGCCCTGTGAAACAAGACATCTACAAAACCTCAGCTCTGCTATTAACTTCAAAATGTCAAACAACCGTGTATTTAAAATAAGCATGCCATCTCCAACTTCTCAGTTAATTTTTTGCATAAAGCTCCTAAGCGTTAAGATTTACAAGCTTTTAACAGACTTCACAAAGTGTTACAAGTAGACGAGACCACTCAGGATGCAAATAAACATTGCATTAGTAATTGTTAAGGGGTTTCAGAAATGAAGCTGTTAGCAATGATGTATTACAACAGTCTGCAAGGAACTGTATCTTACAACAAAAGCAGTGAAAAGGAACAGTAATGTAAAATTAAACCCATCTACGTTGCATTTACTGATATTTAGCCTCTCTTAATGAAGAGGAATCCTTGGGTTTTATGAATGCATATAATTCCCACAGCTGCTCTGGATGCCCTAAAGCAACAAAATTCCACTGTTCATATTTAGTAAGGCTTTATAACAGAACTGGAAATAAAAAGAGGTAACCCTTGAGTCACATCAAGGTGTATAAATAAAGCATGGGAAATATTTTGTTTAGCAGGAGTACTGGGACATAGAAGTAGTATTAAAAATTCCAGACTTCCAACACTATTTTAAAAGATTCAATTCTTCTGCAATTATGACAAAGTTGAATATAATTTAAATTCTTATATTTATAACAGGGTTGACTAGAAATGTTCCCATTTTGGTACCACAGAAAAATAAGCCTATATCATTGCTGATTAAGTGCTCTACAGGCAACTCCCGTGAGACATACACTCTGTGTGATGACAGAAAAGAAGATACATTTAAGTAAGCCCCCTCAAACCAGTGTCATGGGTACAGGTGCTAGGTGGGGCAGCCCCTTGTGAGGACAGGGCTTCCCTGTGCCAGACACAGTGTCCTGGTTTGAGCCAGGATGAAGCCAATTTTTCTTTTTACTGATTTTTTTTCCTTCAGCAAGCTTTCTTGTAACTACCAACAGTGTGTTCTGCTGGGCTGATAAGACAGTGGAATGTTTTTCTAACTACTGAGGCTTCAAGGCTGCACCTGCACTCTGCTGGCTCAGACACTATGGGGAGATCTGTGACCCCCCCGTAGGAGGCTGAGTTAGATGGACAGCAAAATTGGCCAAAGATATTCCATTCCATATATCTACGTAAGCTCAAAAGAAGGAAGGTCAGAGATCACAGAAGACAACTTCCTTCCTTCTTCTTCTTCCCTTCTCTTCCGTCCATGGCCGGTGTCCAGGGAGGACTCTGTTCATCCATCACCGTCGACTCTTAGGCTTGATATCTCGTGACCCCCATAACTCTCTGCTTTCTCCAGCAGCAGCTCCGGGATTCCTCGGGACTCTTCCCAGTTCAGGGAAGTGCTGTGGGAGTTGCTGGGGTGGGGGGAGGCGAGAGGATTTTGCCCATACCTGAATTTATCTGTATATAATTGTATATATATTTTCTTGTATGATTCATTAGTGTTTTAATTAAAGCTGTGTAGTTTAGTTTTCAGTCCAGCCAAGTCTCTCTCTTTTTCTCTCTCTCCTTCCCTACCTGGGTGGGAGGGGGAGGGGATCGAGAGCATTGTTGTCGGACCTGAGTCAAACTGTGACACACAGCCAGTTCCAGCCACCTCCAACAGACTCACTGGAGCCCCTCAGCCTGTTGCAAGAAGGGGCAAAATGCTGCCTGGTAGCTGAGAGAGAGAAGTGAGAAAAAATGTGAGACACAGCCCCGTAGACACCAAGGTAAGAATGAAAGAAGGGGTGCTCCAGAAGAGATACCCCTGGGGCTTGTGCAGAAGACTGTGGTGATGCATATTGTCCCTCTGAAGCCAATGGAGGACAACATTGGAGCAGGTATCCACTCTGCAGTCCTTGGAGGTCCCTACACCAGGTGGATGTGCTCTGAAGGAAGCCATAGCACATAGAGAGCCCACGTTAGACAAGGCTCCTGACAGGAGATGAGGTCTTTGGAGAGGAGCCAATGAAGGAGAAGGTTTTCTGGCAAGAGCTACAGTCTGTGGGGGACCTACACTGGTGCAGTCTGCTCTTGCCCCATGGAGGACTGTCCCATGGAAAGGTCTCGTGCTGGAGTAGTTCATGAAGAACTGCAGCCATGGTAAGGACTCATGCTGGAGCAGCTGGTGAAGGTCCTTATGGAAGGGACCCCATGAGGGAGCAGGGAACAGTGTGAGGAGAAAGAAGCAGCAGAGAGAAGCTGTAATGGATTGGCTGCAGCCCCCATCCCCCTGAGCATGGTGGGAAGGGTTGGAGAAGTTGGGAATGAAGGAGCAAAGTTGAGCCTGGGAAGAAGGAATGGGTGAGGGGAGATTGTTTTGAGTATTGTCTTTTTTTTTCACCATCTTATACTACTTTTAATTAGCAATAAATTAGAAATAAATTTCCCCAGGTTGAGTCTGTTTTACCCTTGATGGTAATTGGTGAATGATCTCCCTTTTCTTCTCTAGACCCACATCCTGTTAAGCAGGGGGAGGGAACCAGTGGCTGGGTGGAGGTCTTCCAACCAGCCAAGGTCAGCCCACCATAACTATGAATGCATAACTATTAAAAAAATACTTAAATTTCATTCCTTACGGTGTTTCAGCATCTTTTACATGGTAACAGTAATATTCCTCAGTACATAAATCACAACTATCTTTGAAAAGGAAGAGGTTATTTAATGGGATTATTTTTTGTTAGTTAAACTGTCCAATTCCAGGTACAATTTTCAACTCTACCATGCAAGTTTCACATTAGATTCTGAGGGTTTTGCAATTCATGGGTTAATAGTACAGAGAGTAAATGTCTTAAAAACACTCTAAGTTCTTTATTTTTGTATATAATGACACCTTACTCATTGTTGAAAATTACTTTAGATTACTACCTAAAATGTGTTTACTTTTTCATAAAACCAGCTCTTATATCTGGAAATTTCTTTTTCATGAGGTGTAGTGAAACAGAATTCTACAGAAGGTGAAAGCAGAAGGGCAATAGTTGTAAAGGCAGTTAACTTTCACTTCTAACCTTAAATGTGATCAAATATCTACTGGCATTGTGCTCCCTTGTGTAAGAAAAATACTCTGCTCTATAGAATAGACACAGGGTAAGCAGCTCCCAAGAATCAGCTCCAGTTATTTTTAGGGACAGGAACAGCAGCTGAATGCTGGAGGTTGCCAGTATCTGGCCAAAATCCAGCATGCAAAATATCAAGACCACCACCCAGACCCCGCCTCCTCACTCTGCTAAAATAGTTCTCCAGCTGGTGCCAGGAGCAGAAGTCGGCATTACGTTGGCACGTATGTTGGCATCAACAGCTAAGCTGAAAAAGTAGTATTAATGGCTGCTGGCATCGGCGCAACTCACTTCATGTCAGGGCTCAGAAAGTACATAGCTGAGGGACACAAGATGGCTTCAGATTTTAAGAAAGTCAAAGGTCAGTTTGGGCCAGTGTTTTTCAGATATTTTCAGTTTCAAGACCACTGCAAAACATCCAGTCGAGGTACAGATGCCTGAACGGCAAATTCAGCTGTCCCAACAGTAGATCAGTCTTATTTAGCTGACTCTCAGTGATGAGTCTACAGATTCCCCTGGAAATCACAGACATCTTGCTGAAAAACATGACAGTTGCATTTTTTCACGTAATGGACATGAAGTTTGGTGTGATATCTGGGTTAGTTCAGCCTTTTGATTATGGCTGTTCTGCAGTAGGTTACTGATTTTTTTTAAGTGTCATATGATTAACCCACACCATTTTATAATACAGAAAGCATGTATTTTTTTATTTAATAGCAATCCTGTTATTATTTTCTTCTACAGAAAGAATAGTTTGTCATTTTCAATGAAGGAATTAAGAGAGTAGATAATAAATGCTAATTTTACTCTCTGAAAAATTACCATGAGTAAAGAAGGAAGTTGTTTATTTCTCCTCAGTTTTGCTTGTAAAGAAAGTTTGAAATTTTTTGTAAAGAAAGGGTGTACAAAAGATCGATGTGTGTGGTTCACACATCGCACCACTGACAAAGATCACAGAAATAAAAAATCCTCCAAGGATCAATGTTTTCTTTGCAAAATCTCCAGTTTGACTTTGCAAAACCAAGTATATGAAAGACCATTTATCACATGAGCTTGTACCCATGGTTAGCAAAGTTGAGAAGAACTCTTTATACTAAAGTATAGATACTGCCAGTTTTCTGCTTGTAGGCCATGTGAGTGCTGGCAAAATGCCTCCATAAGAATGATAGTATGTAATCTGAAGAAAAATTAGATTACTCTTACACTTGAATTTAACATTTGAAGCAATATCAATGATTGCAATGTTATCATACAAAGATATTACACGTTTCTCCATTCAAACCTACCTTAATCATAACTGATTTTGCTGTTCCCCAGTCAGCAGAACAGCTTTTCCTTGCTTCATGATAGTGTGCATTAGAAAGTCTGTTCGGACACTGTCTACATTTGGAACTAGAATGGAAGTATATTCTGGCACTGAATCTTTCGGGTAAATATATTCAGGGACCTGCATAAGAACGACAGGCAAAAAGTTTAAGACTTTCTACCGACCTACACAATCACTTTGCATCAGAACAGAAAACCAAATGTACTTTATAAAATATACATTAGCAAAACTTTTCTTCCTGAAAGCCAAGAATCCATTTATAATCAATCAGTATCCTGCCAAGTTTTTCTAAAAAAATGTTGAACTAAAGGGATATTTTAACTCCAGTACACTCTGTCACATGAAGAAAGCCTGTCATTACTGGGAGTTCTTAAATAGTAGGGAGATAGCAGAAAAAGCCAAGATCACTTGTTTCACAAAGCTATTTCAAACACGTTCTATTCTCTGCCAAAGATAGTTATGGAGAAAAAAAAAATAAAATAAATTCAAAAAAGAAATTCTAGAGCATTTGGTAGGGTTAATCTTTCTAACCAAATAATGCAGGTTTTTAATTAATATGCCTTTTACCAGACACATCTTTCTTGTATACTCACTAACAAATTTTACCACAGGACAGCAAACAAACCTTCTTTGACCAGTGCTCCCACTGGCCAGAGGCATTGATACCAAATTCAAATATGGTCTCTTCTCCATTCACAGCTGGAAGTTCTTTCACTGCAGAGTGCTTCCGTAGGAACAGCTCCATTTTCAGCCTGTCATCTGGTTCCAGAAGAGCTCCAGCTGACCACATTAAAGCAAAAATGAACAAGCGAGCAATATGCTCTTCACTGAGCTGCCTCTCATATTGGTCAGACAATAGACCCTGCAAAGCAGATGGAATATGTAACAACTGCCCTTCTAGAACAATGTCTCAGCACAAATAACAGAATGAGGCAGCAAAAAAACCTGAATGTCATATCTACCTGTAGGAGGTCAATAGCCTGTTTGATGTACATACATTCTAAAACTGGCATTTTTGGTGTCACAGCAGAGAAAAGAAAATCTATCACATCCTAGAAAGGAAAAACAGCATTTAAATAATTATGTACCAGTTTCAATGGTATATTTGAGACAAATTTATTAATATATGATTTCAAATATATTCTAAACTTAATTCCAAACAACATTTTTCCCTATTTCTGTGATTATGTTTAGATTTAGACCATGACTTTTTGCTAACAATAACATATTAGAAAAATAACTTTGATGTACCCCAGTCAGTCTAATTACTCATATGAGCTCCATACAGCAATTTCCTGAAGAGCAATTTGAAGACTGCTTTTCAGTCACATCAGGGATCTGCCATTTATGCTCTCCACTGGAGATTTTAATCTACCATTGCCATTTTTGTAGTGGGAAGATAAAAGCACTAGAATTGTTGTAATGATACAGATAAAATCAACAACCTCACCACTATAAATTTCTATCTGTCTGATCTGTTAGGAGTGCACTATAATGTACCTGACCCTCTTGAAATCAATATTATTGTTTTTTCTAGAAACCTGGCAGGATCCAAAGGGAATTTTCCAATTGATTTTAAGAGAATCTGGATTTTCCTCAGATTACTCCATAGTGATGGCTACCATGCCTGCCTCTTCTAAGTGATCTGCAACATCTTTAGCAAAGCTTCAAATTGGTGTGAAGTCCTCTCTGAGATTTGCAATGCATTTATTTTAAAATATCAATCACCATCCCTAGTACAGACTGATGTCAATTATAACCTAATCTCACTTTCCTTTAACAAAATCCTTCTGGATTCCATTTGTCACTGATATTTTCATAAATCAGCACTGCCTACTCATTCTGAGAATTGAAGTACAACAGGGACACTATGAGAGAGATTAATTTTGGAGGATGTCCAGTTATGGCTCCCACATCCTGTCATTGAGAAGGCTAAAACCATGAAGACATTCAGTCACCCAAAGACATAAAAAATCACCTCGATATTTTTTAAAAACCAGTGAGCTGCTTACCTACATACCCACAAGCCTTGTTCCAACTTTCTGTTAATTTTTGTTGCCACTTAAGTTCTCTTAGTACCCTATGCTGAGCATTTATTGGCACAGAGACTGAATTGAGATTTTTATGTATCTTCTTGACTCCCATCTCACTAGAATAGTGGGTAACACACACAACATTTCCAAATATCATGAGGGGAAAAAAAAAAAACAACCCTCACTGAAGCATTTTGATCTAGAATAGAGCTCATGGCTAAATGGTCTGAGAAAGAAGACAGCTTGGATGTGGGCATACAGAAGAATATTTTTTTGTTCAGAAATGCTTCCATGTGTTGCTTTTTGTGGCTTATCCTCTAAAATGCATGTTTTGCCTCCAGAAGTACTGCTCAAGTGACTAATTAGGGGGCTGTGGATTCCTCAAGGAATAGGTAGAAATAAGTTACTGAAAGCAGTGTGTGAGATTTGCTTCTAAACACCTTTAAAATTTGGACCTAAATCTCTCTGAGATTCAGTTTCCTCGTCTTTAAAATAGACTAGATGTTCCACAGGGCACTGCAAATTGTTTAATAATTGATTTGAGACACTCAGGATAAAGATATTTCATGAGTCAAAGTAGTCTGTACTTTCAAGAGCCCAATTTTCACCAGCAGAGTTTTATGGTACTTATGATTCGAGTGAGGTTTGAGCAATTCTTGTTCTTTGAGTTTATGGGAGGATGGGGGGAAAGACCCATATATGCTAATACTTCAGTACTGCCCTTTATAAAACTATACATGGCAGAAAGAAGGATGAAAGATCAATTTAGCAATTAGCATGAATTAATTACTTCTCTACTGTATTTTGTTTAGACAGAGGGTCTGGAAAAATTAGTTGGGCCGTGATAAATTGCAAAATATTTGGATCAGGAATTTGCTATCCCTTAAGAGGAGACTGAAAAATTGAGATGGTAAAAACTCACATGAGAAAAGACCCTTTCACACAGTGTACAGCCACTGTGGAACTCACTGGACTTTGGAACGCTCTTTAGGACAAGAAGTTGGCAACATGGAACATACCCAAAGGGTTTAGATAAGCACAAGAACAATTACATGGGGCAAAGTGATTGGTATTTGTAATATTAACCTGAACATCAGCATTTAAATATTAATGCTAAGAAACCCTTTGGATTGTATATTTGACTCCATGCTTCAGAGGCAACAGCAGCCTTTACCCAAATAAGATTAGGGTGAGATTTAATTTAGAGGGAGGAATAAGACACATCTGATGATTCTGCTGGTTTTAGGACTTCTTTGAAGCCTCCAGAACAGATCCATAAATGATCCACAACACAAATATAGGCTAGGGAGAGAATGGCTAGAGAGTAGTCCTGAGGAGAAGGACTTGGGGGTGGTAGTAGATGAGAAGCTCAACATGAGCCACCAGTGTGTGCTGGAGCCCAGAGAGCAACTGCATCCTGGGTTGCATCAAAAGAAGTGTGGCCAGCATGGCCAGGGAGGTGATTCTGCCCCTCTGCTCTGCTCTGGTGAGACCCTGCCTGGAATACTGTGTGCAGCTCTGGGGCCCTCAGCACAAGAAAGACCAGAGGAGGGCCATGAAGATGATCAGAGGGCTGGAGCACCTCTGCTATGAAGACAGGCTGAGAGAGTTGGGGCTGTTCAGCCTGGAGAAGAGAAGGCTCCAGGGAGACCTTATAGGGGCCTTCCAGTATCTGAAGGGGCTACAGGAAAGCTGGGGAGGGGCTTTTCATCAGAGATAGGACAAGGGGTAATTGTTTTAAACTGAGAGAGGGGAGATTTAGGTTAGATATTAGGAAGAAATTCTTCCCTCTAAGGGTGGTGAGGAACTGGAATGCGTTGCCCAGGGACATTGTTGATGCCCCATCCCTGGAAGTTTTTAAGGCCAGGTTGGACAAGGTTTTGTGCAGCCTGGTCTAGTGGTGGGGCTCCCTGCTCATGGCAGGGGGGTTGGAACTTGATGATCTTTAGGGTCCCTTCCAACCTTAATGGTTCTATGAAAAAAAAAAAAAAAGGAAAGGAACTGTGATTTAAAAATTACTAGATTTTTTTCATTTAAACCATACATAGATAATGCTGAAACTTACATTACTCATATAACACCCATCACTAGTTTGAGCTTCACACTTTTCAGACAAGGTAAATAATGCCACTTAGGTAATTATTATTATTTCAGTTCTTTGAAACTGTCTCAGATAATTACTTCCATCAACTAAGTAATTCTGTTGCTTACAAGCAGCAGCAGCATTCACACACAAGAAATGGGCAGTATAGCTTCTAAATTTAGGAGAGACTCTAGATGGGTATGGGATTTTACTTGAAATTACTCCTAAGCAGAAAATGCTATTGAGAAGAAAGAAATAGGAAAGGGAGGGTGAAAGACTAATCTCTCAAATCACTGTTTAAAAAACTCCTGTGGAAAAATAAAGGACTCAAAAATAATCTCAATTAAAACTAAGGGTTTTTGGGGGGTGTTGTTGTTTCAGAAGGGGTTTTTTTGTTTGCCTGTTGTCCTGTTTTGAGCCAGGATGAAGCCAATTTTCTGATCTGTTTAAATTTATCCTTGTCTTTTGGACTACCTCTTGTCTTTTATATAAAAACTTACTAATTACAGTGGAATTTATAATATACGTTAGAAGAATCAATACATTATTTCCAGTGGTTCACAACTATTATTCTCTGGTGCTCTCTTCTACGTTACTGCTACTTACTGTACCTTTCTTAACAGTGATTTTATCCAACATGCAGACTTTTTGTGACAAATATTTTTTATAAGCATAAATAATCAGTGTTTCTTGTAAGGAAATTGATATGACTGTAACAGTTGTCTTAGATCTGTTTTGGTTGAATTTAGATTGGTTTCAAAAGTTCTCTATATGTATACTTAAGGACTGATTCTCCTTAGTTGCTATATTTCCATCTATAGCCCGATCCTCATTTTATTCTAAAAAATGTGATATTTTTATGCTGCTTACATCCATGACTTTCTTAATACTAGCACAAAATTCACCAAGGTCTGTATTTGGGGTTTGACTGCCATTGTTGATATATCTTATTTCAAAAATTTTCTTTTAGAATTTATCCATTTTTTTCCTATATGGGGGAAAACAGTAACTGTAATAGCACCTGGCTACAAAAGTAGAGTTACCCTCATCTGTAACATCACTGTTATGGCTTCTATTACTTGGGAAGAAAAGATAGCTCATTAAAAGTGAAAGAAAACTGACAGCATGACAGCTTTCATTTACATTTCAATACTTTCAAATGCAGCCTTCAGCACAGAACTAACTCCATATTTCACTGCATTTTCATCTCTCCATCTGATAAAATACATATTTTTCTTGATTTTATTGCTATTGCTTCAGGCTTGGGTATTTTAAATGTTGTTATTATGTTTTCAGAGCAAGTTGTAATACAAAATATAAATAGAATTGTGGCAAAGAAGCAGTAAATTGACCCATACAGACATTAATTTGGAAACATATTTTAAAATTAATTATTGGAACTGTTTCTCTTGCTGCTGCAGTAAATACTGTGTCATATAGTTATATTTTGGAGGAAGAACAAAAAGAATAGCTTGTTAAAGATTGGTTTTAAAGTAAATAGGCAGTGAAATAAAACATCTGTAAGAAGACATTTGTTAACATCCAAGGCATTTCAAAACTGTATTAATCATTGCATTTATCATTATTTATAAATAAACTTCCTGACATGTCACTCAAAGTTCATTAAAAACTGCATTTGTAAAACCCAGCAAGGAAGGATGAAAAATGTTACAGGATAAGTCCCTGTGAAATCTAACACCAGTGACACAGCAAATTGGCAGGAGAGTCAATGGGGAAGTATGGTATATAAGGAAATTGCATTTGTTCCACAGATGTTGAGGAAATTAGAAGATAACAACAGTGAAACATTGCACAACAGTAAAAAAGAAAAAAAAAGGAAAGGAAAGGAAAGGAAAGGAAAGGAAAGGAAAGGAAAGGAAAGGAAAGGAAAGGAAAGGAAAGGAAAGGAAAGGAAAGGAAAGGAAAGGAAAGGAAAGGAAAGGAAAGGAAAGGAAAGGAAAGGAAAGGAAAGGAAAGGAAAGGAAAGGAAAGGAAAGGAAAGGAAAGGAAAGGAAAGGAAAGGAAAGGAAAGGAAAGGAAAGGAAAGGAAAGGAAAGGAAAGGAAAGGAAAGGAAAGGAAAGGAAAGGAAAGGAAAGGAAAGGAAAGGAAAGGAAAGGAAAGGAAAGGAAAGGAAAGGAAAGGAAAGGAAAGGAAAGGAAAGGAAAGGAAAGGAAAGGAAAGGAAAGGAAAGGAAAGGAAAGGAAAGGAAAGGAAAGGAAAGGAAAGGAAAGGAAAGGAAAGGAAAGGAAAGGAAAGGAAAGGAAAGGAAAGGAAAGGAAAGGAAAGGAAAGGAAAGGAAAGGAAAGGAAAGGAAAGGAAAGGAAAGGAAAGGAAAGGAAAGGAAAGGAAAGGAAAGGAAAGGAAAGGAAAGGAAAGGAAAGGAAAGGAAAGGAAAGGAAAGGAAAGGAAAGGAAAGGAAAGGAAAGGAAAGGAAAGGAAAGGAAAGGAAAGGAAAGGAAAGGAAAGGAAAGGAAAGGAAAGGAAAGGAAAGGAAAGGAAAGGAAAGGAAAGGAAAGGAAAGGAAAGGAAAGGAAAGGAAAGGAAAGGAAAGGAAAGGAAAGGAAAGGAAAGGAAAGGAAAGGAAAGGAAAGGAAAGGAAAGGAAAGGAAAGGAAAGGAAAGGAAAGGAAAGGAAAGGAAAGGAAAGGAAAGGAAAGGAAAGGAAAGGAAAGGAAAGGAAAGGAAAGGAAAGGAAAGGAAAGGAAAGGAAAGGAAAGGAAAGGAAAGGAAAGGAAAGGAAAGGAAAGGAAAGGAAAGGAAAGGAAAGGAAAGGAAAGGAAAGGAAAGGAAAGGAAAAAGAAAAGAAAAGAAAAAAGAAAAGAAAAAAGAAAAGAAAAGAAAAAAGAAAAGAAAAGAAAAGAAAAAAGAAAAGAAAAAAGAAAAGAAAAGAAAAAAGAAAAGAAAAGAAAAGAAAAGAAAAGAAAAGAAAAGAAAAGAAAAGAAAAGAAAAGAAAAGAAAAGAAAAGAAAAGAAAAGAAAAGAAAAGAAAAGAAAAGAAAAGAAAAGAAAAGAAAAGAAAAGAAAAGAGTTAGAATGTCATTGTAAGTGGAAACAGTGTATTTCTGAGATCATGTTTTTAGATCCACTACTGAGTACAACCATCCATAGTATTAATTAAACCTTGTTAATGATTCACTATGCTAAAGGCAGATGTAGGGGGAAAAAATGTTCCAAATTCTCCCTTTGAATCTGCTGACTGAACATGATTTAGTCAGAGAACGTATCAAAGAGATGCCATCTGAAAAATCTCCTTCAGATCAGAACCATGAATCATAAAACCAGAAAAGACCACCACAGTCACCTGTGCTGAGCTTCAGAACACCACAGAGCACAGAACTGCCTTTAACTGATCTGAACTATCAAATGCCTTTTCAAAATAACTATGCCAAAGGCATTCCTGCTGAAATCTAGAAAGATTCCATCAGAGTGTATGCAGCTTATTTTCTTTCTGAATTTACTTCTTTAATTATTTTTTTTTAAAAAAAGAAGTTTGTCCATTCCCCTTGTGTGTTCTAATAAGAATTAAAATTGCAGAAACAATTACAGCCAGAGAATATCTCTGTTTTGCCAACATAAATTATAAAATAATCACAGATTTAACAATTCATTGCCAACTAACCTGTGCAGACAAAATAAAGCATCTGAATTATTCATTTGTTATAGTTTCACTCATTCATTAATGTTAGAGGTAATTTTCTCTCTATTTTGAAAAAAATCCTTCATCCTTATTATATTGCATAAACAAAGAGAAGTAAATAATTGAAAAAGCACTGAGGAAGAAACAATTCTTCACTAAATTAAGGATAAGAAATGCAATTTCTTTTTTTTTTTTAAATGTTGAAGAATTAAGTACCTGAAATACAGCATTAAAGCAGTTCCATAGGATATCGGAGTATGCAGTAGGTAGTTTGCAGCCAAGCTCTTAAAATAGGCTTCCAATCTAACACTGAAGAACTCATGAAGACCATCCCATTGCGAGAAACTGTTGCAGGGGAAGCGTTGTCAATGTTGTGAGGTTCAAAAATAATTTTGCAGTTGGGGGACATTGGAATACGATCTCCATTAGCCAAAGTAAGGGTCTTATTATCATCCAGAACAGAGTTCAGATTTTCAATCCATATTGCATCAACAGGGCCATCCAAAACTATCCAGATATGCTCTCCCTAAAAAAGGAAGACAGAAACACAAGCAACTTGATATACATTGACCAAAAATATACATTTACTTAATCTCAGAAAACATACTATTGGATCTAAATAAGGAGTCATACTTGTGAAACACAAGCAACTTGATATACATTGACCAAAAATATACATTTACTTAATCTCAGAAAACATACTATTGGATCTAAATAAGGAGTCATACTTGTGCTGATTAGCTCAACAGGAACTGCAGCCTTTACAATTTGCTCAGTGATTTTGATCCTTCTTTTGTTACCCTGTGTCACACCAAAAAGTCTATTAATGAATAGTGACAAAAATTAATTTGGGCTATTCTAAGCATAAAGCTGTCCCTTTCTGCTACAAATGTACATCAGCCAGACCAGCATTTACCAAGGTGGATTAAAAACATTAAACACAGTCACAAACATGGGTAGTCACTCTTTGTGGGATGTTACCTAAGTATTTCAGGTAAGGCTTCCCATTTTCCAAGTGAGAATTGAATGAAACTTCTGAAGATTTGAGTGTAATTAAGATTCCATAAAACATTATCTGCACATTTCATAAAAGAATTAGGAAATGACTATACTGATTTCTTACCAGAGCCTTTTACATTCTGATATAATTAGTGAAATAGAGTGGCAATGACATAAAACCAGATAGGAGAACATTAATGTTCCTGTCCTAACATCAAAACATGAGCAGCCCTTGCTTTTGCATTTGAATGGTAGAACTACCTGCTTACAAAAGGAAGCAAAACCCTAAAACCTTTTCCAATTTAGTTCTGGAACCACAAGTACTTGGGAAGCCTGGTGCTCTCTAGCATATATGCATAATTGTGACTCTGGAGTACATTGAGCTATTCAGACACAAAGCAAAACTAATACTGTATTTTTCCATTTGATTTTATATTGTAAGACCTTTCACATAAATTACAGGTAATGAGACCTTATAGAAACAGTGTTAAATGCCCTTACTAACTATCATATCCATTACCTTCTTTGCTTTTAAAGTTTTTCTCCATAATGTAGAGAAAATACCATCTGTCCAGTCATTTGTAGCAACATCAAGGGTACCAAACATCTGGGAAGCTGTGATTGCCTTTGGGTTCATTCTCATCTCTTTATGAGGAGCACCACAATCTGTCATTGCTTTCATCAAAATATTAATGCATTTTGTCTTTCCTGCACCAGTTGGACCTAGAGTCATCATGCCTTAAAACAATATAAACGTGGTTTAAAATGAAATGTCAAAATGTCATGCTACCATTTAATGGCTCTTTGCATCAATGATCCTTGCTTTATTTTTATCAAAAGTCAATACCAAAAAAAATATGTCTCTCACTCCACTTACTGAATATTGACTGAAATGGAATTCCAAAACATTATTAAAAGACCTCTATAAATGTCTGCTCTATTATGATAGGCAAGCCTATGTGGGTCTGCATCCTCCCTCAGGCAATTCTGTTCCTTTTTCTAATTGGAAAAGGCAACTGCCTTGTGATGTTTGCATGCAATGACATTGACATGACTGCCAGTAAACAAAAGCACTACTTTATCAATGTATTTAATGAGTAGTTCCCAATGATGTTATCAAATCAAGTGTACCTTTCTGAAGCAAAAATAACAAAAATATGTACCTTTATCCATCCATGCTGACATTTATGACATTATTCTTACATAAAAAATAGTTAACAGCAACCACACTTTTAATTTTATCAGTGTATTGCCTGAGGAAAAGAAGCCATGTCTTCAATAAAACAATATAATCCTTAGTTGGCTTTGAAAACCTCTTCAACAAAGGTACAGAAGAAACAGTTACAAACCTAAGTTACAAACCTAAGCCAGAACAATACAGATTGCCTATAAAACTAAAGGAAACTCAATGTTCCCAAAACCAGTTTGGGGACCCAGGCAATCATTTACTTGTGCCACGTTTTACATATGGAGAGATCTAATCCAAGCTCCTCAATGTTAATGACACAGCCTGACTGCTGGTTTCAACAGTACTTAGATCAAAACTGTTATGCAAAAGAAAATCCAGGATCCATGCACTTTATCTCCACGCATATACATGGTGTGCATGAGCACTCCATTTCCATACATCATCTCTATTGCAACCACGAGAAGTAATGCACTTTACAGATTTTTCCTCATTATTTGAAATCCCATGGTGATCTCTAGGTCACCAGAGCCAATGAGTAGGACAAATGTTAAGCAGAAAAACAGAGATCTTTTTCCCTCAATGCAACAATTCGTGTCATAGAAAGGCCCTGAGAATCCAAGTGTTAGGCCTGCTGGAGCTGCACAACCCCTGGGAACAGCAGGAACATGTAGAAAGAAAAGGCACCTAAACAATGTCACAGTGGATCCTGGAGATTTTGCAGAAACAGTGGTCTCTGGTGTCTCACAGACCAAACAGCTTCTTCCAACAAGAGGCACATTTAGTCATGACTGAAATGATTGAAACTTTCATGGTTCCTATGTAGATACAGGCATTATGATTTGATATGGAACATTGAATCCAGTGATCTGGATGTAAATCACAGCACAAAGTTAAGCAGATCTTCTGTCCAACCAATGATCTCAACTAAACCTTTGAGGTATTAAGCTCTCAGACTGTGCTATGCAAATGCTTCCTTTTGCTTGTTTAATTAGTTTAAGCTTACTATTCTTTTATTCTGACATGAAAAGGGAGAATAAAAAGGATTACATCTTCATATACCTTTGCTTTGAAAAGTCATGGAGAAAAGCAGAGGTGCCTGAGGACTGGAGGAAAGTCAACGTCACTCCAATCTTCATAAGGGGCAAGAAAGAGAACCCCAGGAAACTACAGGCCAGTCAGCCTCACCTCTGTCCCTTGAGAGGTGATGAAACAGCTCATTCTGGTTGTCATCTCTAAGCATGTGGAGGCAAAGAACGTTGTTAGGGGTAGTCAGTACGAATTCACCAAGGAGAAATCATGCTTGACCAATGTGATAGCCTTCGGTGATGGTATGATTGGCTGGATAGATGAGGGGAGAAGAGTGGATGTGACAACCTCAATTTCAGTAATACTTTCAACACTGTCTCCCCTAACATCCTCACAGATAAACTTAGGAAGTGTGGGTTAGATGAGTGGGCAGTGAAGTGGACTGAGAACTGGCTGAATGGCAAAGCTCAGAGAACTGTGATCAGTGACGCAGTCTAGTTGAAGGCCTATACTTAGTGGTGTTCCCCAGGGGTCATGACTGGGCCAAATTGTTCAATATATTCATCAATGACTTGGACAAAGTGACAGAATCAGCAGACTCTGACTCCGAGTCAGACCCTCAGCAAATTTGCTGATGACACAAAACTGAGAGGAGTGGCTGACACACCAGAAGGCTGTGCTGCCATCCAGCGAGACCTGGGCAGGTTAGAGAGTTGGGCATACAGGAACCTAAAGAAGTTAAACAAAGGCAAGTGTAGGGTCCTGCACCCAGGGAGGAGTAAGCCCATACACCAGGACAGGTTAGGGTTTTACTTACTGGAAAGCAGTTCTGTGGAGAAGGATCTGGGACTCCTGATGGACAAAGTAATAAGCAATATGCCCTTGTAGACAAGAAGGCCAATGGCACCCTTGGATGCACTTAGAAGAGTGTTGGCAGCAAGTTGAGGGAGGTTATAAGGCAACATCTGGAGTAGTGTGGCCAGTTCTGGGCTCTCCAGTACAAGACAAGCAACTACTGGAAAGAGTCCAGCAGAGGGCTACAAAGATTACTAGGGAACTGTAGCATCTCTCTTATGAGGAAATGCTGAGCAACCTGGGTCTAGAGGACTAAGATGGAATCCTATCAATGCTTGTAAATATCTAAAGAGCAGGTGTCAAGAGGATGGGGCAATACTCTTTTCAGTGGTGCCCAGCGATAGGACAAGGGGCAACAGGCACAAACTGGAACACAGGATGTTTCATCTGAACATGAGGAAAAACTTCTTTACTTTGAAGGTGAAAGAGCACTGAACCCGACTTCCCAGAGAAGTTGTGGAGTCTTCTTCTCTGAAGGTAGTCAAAGCCTGCCTGGACATGGTCCTGTGCAACCTGCTCTAGGTGAACCCGTTATATAGCAGAGTGTTGGACTAGATTATCTCCAGAGGATCCTTCCAACCCCTATCATTGTATGATTCTATGAAATGGCCAGAATTGAACACAAAGAACAAAACTTGGAATTATACTGCATGCTTGGTAGAATCAATTAAAATAAAGGGTTTAGAGGTTATTTTTTGTAAGCTTCTTTGCATCATAATCCCACAGTAACATTAAACACAAGCTTCATAACTGAACTGTGTCTGAGGGCAGCAACTATTTTCATAACACAGAACAAAATTGGCTATTTATGAATTCACAGAATCACAGAATCATTCTGGCTGGAAAAGACCCTCAAGATCATGAACTCCAACTGTTAACCTAACTCTACCAATTCCATTGCTAAACCATATTCCTAAGCACCACTAAACACCTCCAGGGATGATGACTCAACCACTTCCCTGGGCATCCTCTTTCAGTTTAAGAACTCTTCAGTGAAGATGTTTCTTCTAACACCCAATCTAAATCTCCACTGGTGCAGCTTTAGGCAATTTCCTCTTGTCTTGTTGCTTGTTACTAGGGAGAAGAGACCAACACCACTTTGCTACAACCTTCGTTCAGGTACTTGTAGAGAGCAATAAGGTCTCCCCTCAGCCTCCTTTTCTCCAGATTAAACAATCTCAGTTCCCTCAGATGGTACTCATAAGACTCGTTTTTCAGACCCTTCACCAGCTTCGTTGCTCTGGACTCCCTCCAGCACCTCGATGTGTTTCTTGTAGTGGGGGACTCAAAGGTGAATGTGGTACCACGGTGCAACCCCACTAATGCAAAGTACAGGTAGACAATCACTTCCCTGCTCCTGTTGACCACAGTATTTCTGATACAAGCCAGGATGCTGTTGGCTACCCAGACATACTGCTGGCCCATGTTCAGCCAGCTGTTAACCAGCAGCCCCAGGTCCTTTTCCTGGGCAGCTTTTCAGCCAGCGCTGCTGGCTCATCTTTTGGCACATGGGACAGCCTGCTCCTGTGCTTTTTCCTTCTTGAAGAATGTCCTGCCTTCCTGGACTCCTTTGTCCTTCAGGACTGCTTCCCAAGGGACTTCATCAACCAATCTCCAAAACAGGTCAAAGCAAGTAACCCTTGCATCTTTGTTGCCACATGGATCTCATCCCCTGTCTCTACTGAAATGGCAGACCAAAAGACCTCACTAGAGCACCATCCCTCAAATAATCGTGTGCAGGCCCCAGGCTTATTTCTAGCAAGCCCAGTTTTGTGCCCTTCACCCTTCAAATCTAGGTTAAACTCTCTGGACAACCCCTGCTAGCTCTTGTGCCAGGATACTCTTCCTCCTTTGAGACAGGTACACCCTGTCTGTCGCCAGCAGGCCTGGTATCATGTAAATCAATTGTAATGTATACTCTATGTTTTAACTTTTTTCATAGAAATTTTAGTGCCTGAAGGCCACATTCATATTTCCCATAAAAATGCAATACAACAAAGTTAAAATCTCACTATGTGTGCACTGCATGCCAAAAAGAAGTCATAACAGCTTCCTAGCAAAATAACCACATAGGCTTTAAAAAGTACATCTGTTCAACTTTAAAATACTTTTTGTGTGTGTGTGTGTGAAAATAATTTGCATTCTTTAGAACATAATATAAAAAATCTATTGCTTTAATGCAGTCTCAAAACCTCATCTAGCATGCTAACCATGTCGGACTTGTTGAGTTTCATACAGCTGAATGAGTTTAAGAATCCATGGTGGATGATGGATAAGCCCTGCTTTCTCTGCCTGTTTCTGAATGGCTGACTGTAGTTGAGGATACCCAGCTTTATCCAGAGTAATTCCAGGGAATAGGTCATTAATGAGACTCATAAATAAAGGTTCATCTTCATCCACCTGCCAAAATATATTATTTATTCATTGAAATTATTATTACAGCTGTAAACAATCTTCAAGAATATGCCATTTAAAAGATGGCAGTAGAAAACCTTGTCTTTTCCAAAGCAAATATTGTAGTTATGAACCAGTTTTATTAAGTGAATTTCGTACAACACAATCACAAGTAGTAATTTCCAAGTTAAATACTCCAAGCTTCTAAAAATGCTAACATTTTAAGACAGTTGTCTTCATTATATACACATGCATTTCTTCATTTGTCAGATAAACCAGCAATATTTATTCAAATTGTATTTAGCCCTTGATTTTTTCGTTATATTTTTACTTCTGTAAACCAATGAAGCATGTGTATCGGTTTGAACACATGTACCAATAGGCTGAATAGACTAATAGCAGAAACAGAGTAATTGGTTCCATCACAGAACTGGCTCCCAAGGTACATACACAGAGTCTAGATATGCTATAACCTTTCAATTACAACAATAAAAAGAAAGATGAATACTTTAAATAGTAATATCAAAAGAGATTAGACTATACAAGTACGTATTAAATGCTTTCAATTACCTTACTCACTGCAATTCTTATGGTGTTCTGAAAAGGCAACAGACTCCCAAGAAATTTATAAATAGAAATTTTGGATTAAGAAGAATGTTTAATTAAAAGTTAACACAATGTATTCTTCCTTTCTCTCCTTAGATAGGGCAGAAAGAATTAAAAACAAGAGTCAAATTAGATTACCAGGTCAGGTGTCCTACATTCTGATGGTATTGCCAATTATTTTTTCAGCTAAGGCTTCTCATTTGTTTTTTCTCTCTTTAACAGAAACAAAATGTCTAGAGCGTAGCTGTGTTCTGATTCTCCACTCATTGATAGACCATAGTAAAAATTACAAAATAATGTATCCAACTGCTTAAGAAAAATATATTTTCAAAGTGAATAATATACACTTAAACATGCAAACAGAGTACTCCTTTTGGGAAAGTCACCAGTGTTACAGTACCAGTTTGGAGAGGTTCATGTTCCGCAGAACTCTCATCACTACAGTTTTCTCTGCCTCTTCAGGATTAGATCTTTTCACTGCTCCAAGTGTTCTCAAAACAGACAGGATATTTCTAAGCCCAAAGTCATAATGAACCTTGAAATAACACATAAACACAATTGGTACCACAAAGATTAAGTGCTTTTAAAACAAGAGAGGGCTGAAAATTAAATTTATTAAAGCAATAAATACACTATTGAACTTTCAAATATTATTAATGTTACAGCTTTTCATCTTTTCAACTGAACTTTTAGTTCTGTTGCTATCATATCCTGGAGATAGTTTCCAGTGTTGCATGTCCATATGTGGCAAGTATCCCATTTTCATGGTAGACCACCACTTTTACAAGTCATTTGTAACCAAGCTGCATCTTTTGTCATTTTCTGCTCATGCAAGGACTGTTGCTATCTTGATATATGGTACTGGGATTTGTGACTCAAAGGCCAATACCATGCTGATAGAAAGAAGCATACTGAAATCATTCAGATACAATTTGTTATATGTAAGCCTATCCTCTGCTGTACTTTGCACTCTGTGGATCATACCGTAACCATTTGGTTCAGAATAGAAGGATTTACTTCCAATAGCCATGTGCATCCTAGAGGTGAATCTAACCAGCTTTGAACTTGGAGTGAGGGCTGGAATATTCTCCCTTTCACTACAGGTGCAGCTGCATATTTGCAGAGCCATATAGAAGCACTCCATTAATTTTAGCACTTGTACCTGAACATAGAATTCTCTCTTAGTTGACACAGATTTGAAAATATATGCAGATGTTCTATAATGTGTTTCCTCTTTGACCATTGATGCAAATCCTAGAAGGAAAGCTACCAGAGTAGAGGTTTTAAATTATGAAGTCTCCATTATTTTCAGCTGCCCAGAAAACTAAGACAGATATGGAAGGAGATAATAAAGATATTATTATATTTGAAGAATGTCTGTTCCCTCTGATTATCAGAAATGTTTTTGAGATCAAGTGCACAGATGCCTTTTTTTATACTACCTATTGTGTGTGGACCTTGCCCAGCTTCCAGATGCCCACCCAGCCACTCTTTCATTCCCCCTTTTCAGCAGGACAGAGGAAGAAAAGGTGAAAAGAAAGCTCACAGGTCGATATAAAGACAGGAAGACCAGTTACCATCATGGGCAAAACAAATCGACTTGTGGAAAATTAATTTAATTTGTAAACAACTAGAGTATATTCAGATGGTAAGAAACGGAGAAAATTAAAACACCACCTTTCGCACAGCCTCCACTCCTACTTCCTGGGGCTGACAAATTGGTACAATACATTGAGTACAGACTAGAATTTTCATCAAGAAATAACTTATTGATTAGGTTTGCAGACATCAAGCTGGTGAACTAGGCCACAACTAGATTGAAAATTAGCAAGAGAAATTCAATACATTATCTATGTATGATGCAACTACAAAAAAGACAAGTGCAAAAAACTACACAGGCAGAAATTACCAACTGCACAAAGGAAGAAGAGTAACAATTCTTCTTCATTCAGTTAAGAAACAAGTCAGGTATAGAAAGCTTTGCAAAAAAAATCTGACATTGGACTGAAGCCACAAACTTCCCAATGACACATCTACAATTAGAGTGGGCAGTAAAAATAAAAGTGTCCTTTTAGGACAGTTGAAAAGACATTTCCATTGCAGTTGGCACTTCTGTACTGTGCCCAAAAGTTGGATTCCACACTTGCAGATAAACCCTACTGAAAAGAACCTAGAAAACAGAGCTTTTAGCTGACTAGAAAACATGTTACAACAGGAAGAAGTAAACCAAAAACTACTGTAGAAATAGAAAGAGTAAGTATGTAGGATGAGTTATGATAAAAGTCTTCAACAGGCAAAAAATACCTGCCAAGAGGAAAACAGAAGGAATACAAAGGAAGTAATGTACTTAACTACAGCAAGGGAGATTCAAGTCAACTTTTAGAGAAAACTTTGTGAATGTCAGCAAAATCAAACTTGGGGACAGATTGCCTGGGAAACTGTAGGGTATATGTCAGTGGAAAATCTTAAGGAGAGTCACAAGCATTTATAGTAAACTATTTAGCTAAAAGCTTTTTTTTTTTTTTTTTTTTTTTGTCATAAAGGTAAATGGATGATCCCTCAAGGCTCCACCCAGCCTTATTTTCTATTTTTCAACCAGGTGCCAAGTTTTTACCAGTTAGAAATGCTAGATACGAATATTCAGCCAGGTACTGCCAGGAAATCTTATTTGCAGGTGGAAACATTAAGATTAAAAAATATTAACAACTTTCTGTTTGGAAAGCAGATTATATGTTGATGAAGAAATTCAGTATCTGTATATTTCTAAACTCAGAAATAAGGTCAATATAATGTACCATTACTTTATTCTGGTGCAGTCCAAGATTTCTACATGGAAGTCAACATAGTCACTAATAAATGTGTGGTATAGAACTGAAATACTGTGATGGAGAATGTAATCAATACACCTAGGCTCATTAGGATCCAACTAAAGCAGGCTTCTCATTTGAGCTGCAACTTGCACACACTTCCTATGCTTCATATGATCTCTCTTTGAAACCCTCCAGTGGACAGCCAGCACAAGGCATTCAAAAGGCAACAACTAGTTCTGTTCTTAAAAGCAGCTTTATCCTTTGTTTCTGCTTAAATACCCCATACCAAACAGAAAATAACTTTTCTTGTAGCACTCAACAAAACAGTGCCTTCTAGGCACTCGTTATTTACAATTCTTACAGTGTCTCTCCAGTAAGTCTAGTCTTCATAAGTAAGGAAACTGAAAAATGTGTCCTCTACTCTACACCATTCCTCATAACTTCTCCAATAACTGTACTCAGCTTAAAAATCACAAATCAACTTCCTTTACTACAAAAACTAGTTTGAAACACAAAAATATGATTATTTCAGACTCTTTTTCCAGAACTTGAAACTGAAAACCATAAAAAAATGAATAGGTTTCTGGGTGTCAAAAGTATTATATATTCTATGAAAGTGTACTCTCTACATTCCCTGCCAATGACAGCTTGCACTTAGACAAATATTTATTCTACCTGATTAGATAACTGCTCTTCACAGAGTTTGTAGAGTGTATAGAATTTCTGACTGAGGACTTGGTTGTCTCGGAAACCCACGCTCGCCAGCTTGACTCGCATGATAATGCTGCGGTCAGACACCATCATGGCAACTGTGCGAAACTGGATCTTCAGGTTTTCTGGAAGCTCCTGTCGCCCTGCATAGCCAGGGTTCTGAAAAATGCAAAATATAAAAGAAAATCTTTCATAGTGAAAGCAGGATAGGAAGGTTTATCTTCTCTGATAATTATTTGGCAAACAGAGGAGCACATGCCAGGCTACAACAGGTAACTCGAGCACGTCATAATTACACATCACTACACAGTTGCCTAAATATTGCAGTTCATGGAGTCTGTGGTATCACATGTTTCACCTGGAGATGTCCAGGACACACAGATAGACAGATGATCATTTACAGGCCTTGTCGGAGCCATTTAAAATGGTTAGTTCCTCAGGGTCTTGATACTGTTCCAGTGCTGAAGGTTACTGTCCTTTGTGGGCATTCCCAGATCATTTCAGTGCAAAGCCAGTTAAGCAGTGCAAGCCATTACTGAACTAAAAGATCTGAACTGAAGATGTCTAAGTCATTCATGTGACTACTGTATCACTCAGCTGTGAGAACTGTAGTCACTGGATATGCAGTGATAACTTCTTAAACTCTTCCAGCTGCTTCCAAACTGCCTTCCCATTGGCCCTTGTGTGCCACTACTTTGTCCTCTTTTTCAAATCAAATTTTAACACCTTTTCAAAGGTAGGAAACCTTGAAATAAAGAAAAATGCTTCCATTTTGAGTTCTTAGGATGTAGCCCTCAGCTAAAGAAGGGGAGATAAAATGAGGCTTTTAAGGTAATATTACACTTTCCTGCTTCTTTGCCTCTTGCACTGCTAGAAGCCATCATGAACCAGGGTGAGGGTGGTTTCCTGCATGCTCTCATACAGAAAGATTGTGGTTCAAGATTCTTCAAGGTGATGAAATACTGACCAGAACAATTAACAGTAGTCTTTGCACTAGTCAATTACTTCTGTTTTATTTTGATAGACTTTGACTAAAAATATAAGATGGTTTGGTTTAGTCTACATCTATCAAATACTCAACTAAAAAAGCATTTAAAGTATGTGGTTAATGATAATTGCGTATCTCAAGTCATAAGTTCCACTTAAAAATATGTGGAAGAGAAAATGTTATCAATATAATTTGACCAAATTATTGTTGAAACTGTAATCACTATTTTCTAACAGACAGTTTCAATTATTTCAAAAGCTAAATTTCAATGGGAAGTTAAATAGGAAACATTTTTCACAATGCCATTTATATATATTCAAACACATACCATAGTCAGAAATATACCAAATTCTCTGTCCATGTCAACAACATCACCATCAGTGAAGACAAACTGAGGTTTCTTATTTTTCTTGCACTGAAGTATGATATATATCTGCTGAGCAGCTACTGATAAAACTGGAAGCTCAATCCGGTTAAATTCATCAAAGCAACCCCACGCACCTGACTGGGCTAAACCTAAAAAAGCATAAAGAAAAATATTTTTTTTTAAACTATCAGATCGAAGAAGAGTAATTTATATATAAAATATAGCACTTTCTATGTAACTTAATGTAACACAAGAAGAACAGAGAGTATGAACACAGAATAAAATGAGAAGTAAGACCTCAAAACAAATCAGGCTGTGCATTAATGACACACAGAAAAAGAATTACCCCTTGGAAGAAAGACATACAAACTCCTTTACAAAGTGCCCTACACTTTAACAGCAACCATAAAGCAGAAAAGTGTTCAAAATTATTGTATATAGCACCTAGAAGCACAAATGCTTATGATGGAAATTCATCCATACAGGGGTGAAATTGTCAGAGATGAGCTTAAGAGACATGTGCCTCGATGAAAAGCACAGAATCAAATTTAGAAACCACTGCAATTGAGACAGAAGCAATGTAGAATTTTATAACAATAAATTAATAGGTCAAAAATCGTTGGAGAATAGCATCCTGCTATTCAAGAGAGAGGATTCTGATGTCACATTTAAAGCTGTTATTTGGAACTGGCTATGGAATTCTAGACAAACATTAATATCCATAAACATCATGCAATGAATGTCCTTTGGGAGAGTCAAGTACTCCTTCTTCTGTAGAATTGAAACAGGAGAGTCTACAATGGCAGTTTACCAGAGCAGTAGACAGAAAGCTATGTAATCCCTTGCTATTCCACTTCCATTTCACAAGAGACAAAGGCTAATAAGTCTACACGGGAACTTCACAGATGCCATCTCCTCCCTTTCCAAAGCCCACACCAGAACTAGCATTTCTTATTGCCTGGGTACAGCCAGGACGTGGATCCATACTTTAACTGGTGCTACAAATGTTCAGAGGTGCTTAATTCATTTCACTGGGCTGGTGGAGCTCAGTTTGGCTTAAGCTGTTTGAAGGCAGTGCTTAATGCAGAAATAAAGCACATGTCCAAGAAAAGGCATTAGTGTGTTTGCAATGTTGAACAACTATGACTAGAACTCCCTCAAATTCCCAGACTTCATATGGCAATGCCTTTGGCACTAGGAAAATAAATCAAGGGGTGGTTTACCTGTAATGCTAATTCCTTAAGATACCTAAGTTAATGGAAGCGAAAGTACTAAAAAGTCATTAATACTACTATTAATACATACTTCCTCCTTTGTTTGGTTTTGTCTCACGTTTTTTCTTCTCTTGTCTTTGCTCTGGCCTGTTCTGCTCATATTATTCTACTTCCCTTCCCTCTGCCGTTCCTTGTCTGACTTTCTCTTGCTCTTTAAGATGTTCCTCTAGAAACTCTCATCTTATGCCAAATCCCCTTGAGGCCCTTTTTATGTTTCTTTTCTACCCCTCTTCTACTCTGTCCCATCTTCTGATGTGATGAGTAATCATAGCCAAACCAGTACTTGTCAGTTTTTGCAGGCATCAAAAAAGGAAAAAAATAATTAAATAATTCTTATCTTCATTTTTTTACCATTTATGATGCCCATTAACTACTTATTTTAATATTGTTGTATTAGTTGGTCTTTTTTAGCCATGTAATTTTGGAAGAACTCTTCAACAAATTTAGTTGATTAACAGTAGATAAAACCCAGTGCTAGCAGAGCCAAAACTGGCTCCTTAAGATTTGATTCAGTCAGGGCAATACTGCAGATCTCCCATGAAATTCAGTTCAATTCCATATGTAGAATAATATTTTTCCCTAAACTGCTTCTAACTAATTCCTGTGATATTATAAGGACAAACATCCTCAAAAATAAAAGAACTTGACATGAATAAAAAGTCACATGGATTTAATCACAAAATGTAAAGGCAAAGGGAATATATACAAATACTACAATGAAGCAAAAAATTGAAATAATTCTATAGAGAGGTACAAAATTTAAAATATGAAAGATTCAACCCTACTGTCTTTCAAAACAAATGAAGAATGTTCCTTGACTTCACTGGTGTGGCAGCAAGTCAACTCATGTTCTCCCTTTCATATGAGGAATATCAGGGCCCTGGATGCACTGATAAGCCTTAATTTCCCTGAGGAGCCTTACCTGTGACTTCTACCCACACCTCTGTTCTCCAGTCCAAGAGCTCCCCCTCAGTTCAGGTAGGTCTGAGTCCTCAGTCTTTGCCTGAGCTATGTAGTGAGTAGGGCTGGGCACAGCCCTATTCTGGTGTTACCCAGACTTGCTGACAACTACCAGAAGGATCCCAGAACTGTCCAGAACACTTCCACAGCCCTGCCTCCTGCCGTTTCTGACTGAGCTTCCTAGATGGAGCCTGAACCCAGATTGTTATTTCACCTTGTCTGATGGTCACTGGTCAGCTGCTGTAACAAGCTGTCACCAACCTGCCCTGCTTAGGCACCTTGGGACTGTGCCCTGCCCAGTGAGGTCCCTGCCCCTGCCTGTGTGGTGGTCACTGTGGTGGCTCCTGGCTTGTCTTCCCTTGTGGAGCTGCCTTACTCTTGCTGTGCTCTGATGAAAAATTCTTGCACAGATTTTTCAAATACATTTGACCCTTTTTGTTACATATGTCACATTAATATTAGGATTCATTATTAAAACAAACAAACAAAAAAGTTTTGCTACTATGTTTATGTTTATTAAACATCAGTGTCTACTCTTTGGGATACAACAAAAAGCCCTAAAGCAGGACATTACTTAAGAGACTTCTTTCCACATCATATTGTCTCTTACACTTACTATCCCTTTATTGAACATTTTTAAAATTAAGTTATTTACAGAATTGTGGAGTAAGGTTCTAGCCATACCATTTTTCTTCAGAAAGGAAAAAAATAATCACTTGTTCTGTAATGCCACCTGCTGTGCAGAGTTAGAAAATCCGACTCTCTGACAAGGCCAGTATCATAGAATGGTTTGGGTTGGAAAGGACCTTAAAGATCATCTAGTTCCAATGCCCCTGCACGGGCAGGGACACCTCCCACTAGAGCAGGGTGCTCAAAGCCACAACCAACCTGCCCTTGAACACCGCCAAGCATGAGGCCTCCACAGCTTCTCTGGGCAACCTGTTCCAGTGTCTCACCATCCTCACAATAAAAAATTTCTTCCTAAAGTCTAACCTAAATCTCCCCTCTTTCAGTTTAAAACCATTCCCCCTTGTCCTACCACTACATGTCCTCGTAAAAAGTCCCTCCTCAGATTTCTTCTGGGCCCCTTCAGATACTGGAAGGTTGCTGAAAGGTCTCCCTGAAGCCTTCTCTTCTCCAGGCTGAATAGTCCCATCTCTCTCAGCCTGTCTTCACAGGAGAGGTGCTCCAGCCCTCTGATCATCTTTATGGCCCTCCTCTGGACTCACTTCAACAGCTCCATGTCCTTCTTGTGTTGGAGGCTCCAGAGCTCGACACAGTATTTCAGGTGGGGTCTCATGAAAGCAGAGGGGAAGAATCACCTCCCTTGACCTGCTGGCCTTACTTCTTTTGATGCAGCCCAGGACATGATTTGCTTTATGGGCTGCAAGCACACACTGCCTGCTCATGTTGAGCTTCTCATCAACCAACACCCCAAAGTCCTTTTCCTCAGGGCTGTTCTCAACCCATTCTCTGCCCAACTTGTCATTCTGCTTGTGATTGCCCCAACCCAGGTGCAGGACCTCACATTTGGCTTATTGAAATTCATGAGGTTGGCATGAGCCCACCTCTCAAGCCTATTCAGGTCCTTCTGGATGGATTCCTTCCTTCCAGCATGTTGGCCAAACCACACAGCTTGGTGTAGTCAGCAAACTTGCTGAGGGTGCACTCAATTCCACTGACCATGTCACTGACAAAGATGTTAAACAGCGCCAGTCCCAGTACCAACCCTTGAGGAACACCACTTGTTACTCATCTCCATTTAGACACCAAGCCATAGACCACTACTCTTTGAGTGTGACCATCCAACCAATTCCTTATCCACCAAGTGATCCATCCATCAAATCTGTATCTATCCAACTCAGAGACCATGATGTCATGTGGGATGCTGTCAAACGCTTTGCATAAGTCCAGGTAGACTATGTCAGTTGCTCTCGCCTTGTCCATCAATGCTGAGACCCCAATATCCCACAGCATACATTCAGTTCTTGCAAAATTATTTCATTCTGCTAGTGTTTAAAAAGAAAAAAAGGAAAGACACACACATACATACACTCACACACACAGAAGCAAAGGCATAGCAAGCTGTTACCTGCATAACAGCGTGGAGACAATGCAATTTTGTTGTGCCTTGTCAGGCTGTGCATTAATTGCTGTCCCCACACAGAACGTAGTATGGCAATCAAATACAGAAATGGAGGAAAAGCAGAAAGCAAAGGACAAGACTAAAGATATTTTTAACTCTAGGAAATGTGACACACACCCACATCAGTACAGATATCCTACAAACCTGGTATAATGAAACTCACATGATAAAAGAATCACATAGCATAGCTACTTCAGAATGCATCAGAGTTGCCTGAGCACCAATATGCTGAGTTGTGTAAATGTCTTTTCTAACTCATATAGAACACAAGCATGCAATTAAAGGAAGCAGCCAGATAACAAGGACATAATACACAGTATTACTTGGCTTCTGTTGCATATGATGACAATACTACAATGTTAGATCTTAGAGCTTGCCACTCACAGCAAATGGTGGCATTCTGTGGTATGCTAGTTCAGATAACCAATAGTAACCAATATAAAAAAAAAACAAAAAACAGACATAATGGAGTCCACAGATACTGGATCACCCAACCGCTGTTTTCAAAATTAACTTCAAAACTCTGCTTATCCTGAAAAGTTATTATTTTGATCACTTTCTCAATGTTTTTGTTTTCAAGAAAGTTCTAGTGTTCAAAATTAAACACTGCACCACTTTGTATCTTTGTATCGTTGAGCTCTATATTTTTTTTCTTGCTTGATAAAAAAATGGCAAGGGAAGGCTACATATCCCTACATATCCTTTCCCTGGGGATGGGTGGGATAGAGGCATAAAAAAATAAGCAGAAAAGATTAAAAGACAAATGGAAAAGAGGACAAAAAACCTCTTCAAAAGAATATCACCACAAATGGAAAGCATGCAGAAAAAAATGAAAGGAAATTAAAGGGAAATAAAAAAGAGAAATAATCAAATATTAGGAAAAACTGATGAGCATCTGGAAATAAGAGGAAGAAAATACCCTACTGACCACTGATAACTCACTCGTGAAGAGGCAAGAACTTGTGACTCTAAAATGAATAAACCAGATTATTTCTTACCCTTATAGATACGGCCAAGTCCTCTGTAGTCCATTTGGTCTGAACAATTGAAAACAACAACATACTTTCCCAGGCATTTGCCCATGTCTTTGGTTGTCTCTGTTTTCCCTGTCCCTGCAGGTCCTGCAGGTGCACCACCCATATTCATGCCCAGGGCCTGTGCCAGTGTGATGTAACACCTAGAGAGAAAAGAGTTATATTAACCTTTTTATACTATGAATTACTTGAAATACATTAGTGCAACCACAGCAGTTGTATTATACAGAGCTGGAGAAGGGAGCAGAAATGGGTGAGCTTCCCTGTGGTAAGTTCTCAGTCACCCCCTCTGCACACTGTGAAGCTGAGTTGCCAGGTGTCCCCTTTGCTCCACCTGCAGAAAAGCAGACATGTGGCACAGCAATGACTGCACCAGCTCAGGAAAGGCACAAGCCAATTCTAAATGCCAAACACCAAAATACTGTAATATTGTGATTTTCTCTGTCTAATCATATACCTTCCCTCCATCACTCAGTCTTATACTGCAGCACCCAGACCTGCTGGGTTTCTGTGTTATTTTCCCATCTTCATACTCTCTCCCCAGGGCACACAAGATGGGCTCTTTGATATGGTAATAGGAAGGCACAGAGGCTGGACACAGCTTCTATTCTTAGTATTTCCCCACCAGAATGCCAAACCAGAGCAATATTGCTGGACATACTAGGTCTTTGAGTTCCAGGAGGAGAATGAATGAGAGGGAAGATTTTAATGGGCAACAGAGGGACCCATAAACCCTAGGAAGATCTGCTTCAGCCTCCATCCTAGGCTGATGACACCAGGTTTAAGTCTCACCTCCCCTGATGGTGTGGAGATTACAGAAGAACGTAGGAAGATTGCTGTTCTAACCTACACAGCTCCAAAATCCCAGTAAGCCCGTTTTAACACTGTGAAACTCAGTAGTTTTACAATATATCCAAGGAGAGAAAATGGACACTGAAAAAACCCAAATTATACCAGCTAGTGTAACTTCCTATAAAAATAACACAGTAGTCATTCTAATATAATAGCACTAATAATGCTTTAACACAGTATTACTCAGTAATCAGTTAACAGTTAACACAGAAAAAAAATGACTCCTAACAATTCTGCTACTGAAAATGAGGTAAGGAAAAAATTTATACATAGTACAAGTCTTAAACAGAAGTTGCATTGCACTTTATATATCTGCCATGACAAGATTTGTGTCTAACATGATGTCTAGGAGCACTCAGTTTCAGTCCCATTGTCTTAACACAAGGTACTATCCCCAGCATGTATTTACCATGTGCTTTGGGAATCTTTCTGAACACAAAATCATTAGTCAAACAGCACTTAACTCCAAGTTCATTAATGGAAAGCAAAGATACACTTACCTGCAAACTGTCAGAAGCTCATACAAGTCCATATAGCAATATTAAAAAAATGAAAATAGGAAAAGCCTACAAGGGAGTAAAATCTGATCTTATGCAACACTGCTCAAGCAAATAAGTTTCTCATGCCAACACCAGGAAACATGTCTACTTTAAATACTTTTTCAATTTATGACTGGATAGTCAACAATCCTGCAGGACAGTTTGGCTCCTCTAGGTTAGCCCAAAGACAGCTATCCTTGTTCTTTTTTGTTGTTGTTATTATTATAGTTTAAATTCATTCAAAAGACTCATTTTATTCAAGTCACCCTGCACTAGCTTTCAGTCTCACATGATACAGCACCTCGAAACAATCCCTAACCAATTAGGTTGCATTTTAATGCTGTGAACAAATTTTGCATAAGAACATTTTCTTGATACTGTCTCTCCTGGAGGGCAAAAACATTGTCCACGTGGTAGTGCTGCCATACCCACTAATCAACTGCATGTTTGCTGCCACAAACAGATCTCTGTCTAGCACAGGAATAGGAGAGTACATAACATAGAATGTGGCAGATGTGTGCTACATATTAAAAGCCAGGTATTGAAGCATAGGATTTTAGCTCTCTTAAATAGCTTGCTTTGCATAATTTTGGTTCAGAAATTGGCAAAAGTCTAAAATTTCACTAGTAGTAGAGAGCACAAAGAGAATTCCAAGATTAATTCAACAGCCTGCAGTCATTCTTCATGCAATAAATTACTGAATATGCACAGTATCCTGACATTCCTATCCACACTTAAAAGAACAAGCTCTCTTCTATATATTTGCCTCTTCCCTAGCTGAAGCACTACCAAGTATTTTAGGAAAATATGCATCTACTGGACTTTGTTCTGTGCTGTATAACTCTCCAGTTTGCAGTCCTGTAATTCTCCATGGACCTTGCTTAAAACCGTATTGGCACTACCTATTTAATGCTGTGTCCTGAGTTACTGCTTTTTTCCTCTAGGGTGACTTCAAATGAACCACTTCCCATAATCCCAAATTCCCACGCAACTACCAGTTTATTGAAAGCAGCACTATACTCTTTTTTAGATCTGCCCTCTTTAGGCTGGTGAAGTGCATGGTGTTCAGCTGTATTTATCTTGACCACAAGTTGTTCAATGCCTACTTTAGCATGTATAGCCCAAGAAAACACTCTAAGAGAATTCAAGTCCCCTCCTCCGGGGTGCCTGCTTATGCTAGCTGAGTGTGTAAGCACTGGCCTCTGCTGTTCACCATCGCTACTGCAGCACTACAGTGCAACCAAAGACAGAATTCAGCCTCATGAAAGTTAAAGGAACCAAGTCAAAGGAATTAAGTCTTAGCTCCAGTACTATGCACTGCATTCTTTTCATACCTACCTGTCAGTTAAGGGAGTTATAACAAGCCTGTCTGTACACCCCAAGTATTCATTGCAGTAGGTGAACTCTACATCAGTGATTTGGATAACACATTTATCCAAATCTTCCAGGAAATAGAATCGAGACTGTTTTTGCCATTCAAAATCAGATGGAGATTTAATGTTCATATGGACCTATAATGGAAAAGAGAAATAATAAATACAATAATGAAAGAGAAGAAAATTAACAAATTCATCTTGAAGTCCATACAGAAATACATGTCCACTAGGCATGAATTCAAGAGCTGGAAGAACGAGTCAAGTCAAGACACCCAGAATTATCTTTTCAAAGCTGTCTATGACATGCTCTGAACCTTCTGACCACTTTGATTTTCCTCTGAATTGTGTACAGAGATAAGGAATTGTGTCTTACAGAGATACTGAAGAGGAGCGATGGAAAACTTAACAAAAAACTAACTAACAATACTGGTTACTCTGCATGGTGTCTGGTTCCATTACTCACAGGAATACTAAATCGTGGACAATGCTTGAATATGTTGTATCCATGTCTATGTGTTTGCTTATTTGGGATGTATTTTCCAGTATTCATTTGCCACACACATATTTAGATTTGTGGCAGATGAATAGATCTTGAATCACTCACTACTTTTCACACTTGATCTCAAAACTACCAGTTCTTACGGAATGCACAGTCCTGGTTTTCAGCATTGCTGACGTGGTGTAAAGTGAAGAGGAGGTTCTGGATTATCAGCCACTTCTCTCCACTTCCCCTCAATCACAAAAGGATGTGCTTAGCAGGGGATAGTGTGTTTTGATAGAAAAGAATAACATCAGATGTGCCAATTAAGAATAATTTGCCCAGTTTTGGACTTGCCCTGGATTTTTAATTTCACATACAGACCCTTTAAATTTAACCAGTTTTCTGTGATTTAATTTTATTATAAGATGATATTTAATTAATTGATAATTAAATGTCCAATTAAAATTAAGTATGAAAATAAATTTAAAATTATGGGCATAGGATAAAAACCCATGCCTATATCCAAAGATGGCAGTTTTCTTTATTTCAGTATTTTTCTTTATGATTTTCTATCTTTCTTCACACATTTAATTTTTATCTTCCTAACATATATGCATAAATTAAACAATGCAGCATTGAATTATTGACCCTTGCACCATGCAAGTTCTTTGAAAGCTATTTCAAAATTCCATTTTTACAATTATAGTTTCCTGTATTCTATATACTTATCTAAAGGAGGTCTGATGAAACTCCATTATAAAAATAAAATTTAAAATATTTGTTCTCCTACCCTTTCAAATATATGGAACCTCACCACTTTAATACTTGACTAACTATTACCTTAAATCAATACATAGGCTGGGCTGGAAATCAGATGATTGACAGCAATACTAAAGGGACTTCTTTTCCTTTTGCATTTCAATTAAATAACGTATTACCTTTTCAGTTTGAAAAAAAGTTTTATTTTAAAAGTTAAAAGATTTTGCTCACAGTTAATTTGTGCATGATGGGTATCAACAACCATTTTAAAAGCTGAAGTCTGAAGCTGTGAACATACAGATATATAACTCACCCTTATCTCTGCATGACACCTATATGAAATCAAACTAAATCTGATATGTTATATCACAGGACTAATAGATTGTAAGATTTGTTTATACATTTTTTTATATGTGCAAAAACTTCCAGGAAGTCCCTTAAAGGTTTTAAGAACTTACCAAATCATCAAAGATATCTTTCTGGTGCACATGAATGGTGATTAAAGTTTCATACTTTGTGCACTCCATTCTTGTCAGATTGTGTGTTGTCATGTCAATCAAATCATTCAAAAGATCCAAAAACTTCTTGCTTGTTGTGTGCATTACCTTTTCCACACAGCAAGAAGAACAGCTATATTAATACAAACATGATTTGTTCTTCTAGTGTTTAGAATAAAAAAAATAAAAAACATCTGCAAATACATGGGGCCATGACATCTATGATCTGCTTTACATTTATCAGGCTTGGAATCCTACAGTTGGATTTGCAGACTGCGCCCCATGCATTCATTCCTAGCCCAACAGAGTACAAGAAGGTTCTCTCTAGGTGAAGAGGTCACATCATAAGATTTTATTGCAAGACTGCTGTTCCTTCTACTATACATTTAGTCTTCAGCTGATTGCATTCCCTGAATAATTTTAGAACTATCAGTCCCTGGTTTTGGGTAATGCACATTAGCCCAAGCAGTATCTGCTCTTTAGGGTGAAACAGAGCATTAACCAAACTCTGACTTCAAACAGTTAACTGCTTGTAGGGTGTAAATCTCTCATCTGGGCCTACTGCTGGTGAGCTGTAAAAGCCTTTTGTGTGAGCTCATCTGTAGTTTTAGGGAAGAAATACAAGGGTCCTTGAAGAAGAAAGAAGCCACTCAACTGAGACTAGAGATGCCTGCTGTAAGGAACACTGCTGCGGAGTCAGCAGAGATAAACCGGAGAAGGCCAAAGGTTCCTGTGAGGAAGATTCCAGGATGAAGTAAGCGACCCCCAGGAGACCCTAATGGACTTAACATACATGTGATAATGGGCAGACACTTATGTAAATTATTTCTTGGGAAACTAATGAATATGTAAAGTGTTTCTTGGAAATATTACACATAATTAGGTATCAGCTGTATATATCTCTCACCTTACCCTGTAAGGCGCACATTTTTGGAGGAGCTCTCCCCTGTGCATCCGGCGCCATGAATAAATACTGACTTAACAGAACTCACACTGTTGGGTGAACTTTCCTTGTTTCAAAGGGTAACAGGAACCTAGAGATCTATTACTGCCTCTAACTGGGGAAATGTAGTGTAATTTTAAATCCCAGTGGTAAAATAATAACTTCTTTAGTGGCACCAGATCCAGTTACAAAATTCCACCAAATACATTACTAATGATACAATACTGACTCAGGTAAACAGCATCAGCCTCTGTCAGTGATGTTCCTGCTACACAACAAATTATATAGGGCTGAGGTTTTCAGCTCATAAACAGTCTTGCTCCAAATATGTGAGAGAATGATCACCTGGGCTTTCTGCAAATATATGCAAAGCCTAAAACTCACCCTGTCTGCCAAGAAAAAAAAGCACTAAAACCACTTCAAAACTAACGGAGAACTAAACAACTTCCCCACCCCTCAAACACACACACAGTTCATCCCAAGGAAACAAAAGTTGTTTTTCAGTTAATGTAAAAGCACTTTCACGTCTAGTGAGCATAAGAACTAGAGTGCACTGAAAGCAGTTCTATGCCCTTTTAAAACTTTGTATGATGCAGAAAATGTAGCACTAAGTGGTCTTCTCTGTAGCTCAGAGTCCTTTTTTTCATTCAATATCAAAGTGCAGCATGGTACCATTCCCTTGCATTTACTTTTATAGTAGGGTGACATTACTGGTTCTTAGTCCAATCTCACTGTGTATTCCTGACTAATGATAACTTGCAATTCTTTATTTTGCATCTTCTCCTTCCCCCTTCATAGATTCAGTGTTGGTAATAACCTTGGTGTTAACAGGATCTGCTCTACATGTCTGAGATTAAAGCAGCACCTCTTCAAATGGCTTCTGTTCCTTCCTTTCCTCCCAGAAACAGCTCAACTGAAGAACCCAGTACACTCTGTTACAGCAGACCAACGGCCATGAAGTACAGTTATTTCCCCGTATTTGGGGAACTCTTTGTTTCTTTCCAAATCTGATATTGGAAAATAATAGGAAAGATTCCCTATATTCCCTAACTGAGAAATTGTTCCTTCACAAGATGACTGGAATGACAGAACAATAGAAAAAAATCAGAGCACTACAACAATTCTAAGGCACATGATGAGGATGGTGAGAAGGTGTGACAGCCTAACACATTTTTTATCATTCTGTTTCCCTGTTTGTTTATTATTCTGCTTGCTTAACTAGTATTTTTTCTTTTTCCTACATGTTACTTCTTTACTTTTCACAATATGCACTGTGCCAAAGGACACTTTTAATTAATCCCTAAAGATTCATTAAATATTACCTTTTTGTCTGTTTTGGCACTGTTCAGTGCATTCTCTGCATCTCTGGTCCAGACCATTTGAATTCCCAGAAGTCCTATTTGTGCAGGAAACATTGCCTGAAAGTCATGCAGTTTAAAACCTGAATCACTAATGGCCATTGATGCCTGTCTAATGATGGTGTGGATTGTTTTCCTAATCCCATTCAGCAGCTGACCTAACCAGAATTCCACATTGCCCTGAAATAAAAAAGAAAGTACTTTTAAAAAATTAGTCTATGAATAATTCACAAAGAGAAAATGCCCTACACAACTTTTTTTTTTTTTCCAGTCTGTCATATTCCTATTTCCCTCTTTGTTACTCTCTAATCTTTAAAAGATTCCTCTCCTCCGTCTGCTCCACTGTCCTTCTAGAAACATGTGATGCATTTGGAACTTCATCTTAGTACTGCTGAAAAACAGATAACACAATTGTTACAGAATGACACAGATGTTCTGTCCTTTCTGGCCTTTGCTCTTGCTGTTCACATTGGCAGGTTTCATTCAGCTAGTCAAATAATAGCACAGTGCAATAATGTTGTTTTCTACAACATAAATCTACTTTAAATCAAGTAATGAAAAAACTGTAGGATGTATTTCCATTACCTGAGCTAAGACTGGTTCAATAAGATTGACTTGTTCTCCTTCCTGAGATTCAAACAATAAAATCTGGTCGTAGTTTTTTTCATTAAATCCCACTCGGTTAACATTATCAAACAAACTCAACAAATGTGCCTGCAAGAGAAAAAGAAGGAAAATAAACAAACAAAAAACCAAAACAAACAAAAAACCCAAACAAACAAAAAAGCAAACCCTCCATAAACAGATCTGATATGATATTCTTACTTTGCCTCTAAGTCCTATATTAGAAGAATCTATAAATCTTTCCATAAGTGAAAGAAATTATCTCAACTAAGTAACCAAAACCACCATAGTCCTCCCTTACTAATATTTACCATAAGAACTGTATTACCTTATTATTTGTACCTGAATAGTGTGGGAATCAGATGCTTGACCAAGGATTTCCAGAAGAGCAGGGTCAGATAAAAAAAAAAAAATCTTGGAAATATTAACCGTTTTTTTTCCAAATACCCAGTCAGTGATTTCTGACAGATTTCCAATTGTTCCTGTAAATGTGGTAACATCTGTGCCAGAGTCTCATCTCCAACACAGCACTGCACAATGTTTGATGTTTCATGGGCTCTCTGCATAATTCTCTGCCACGATTTATCAATGTTCTGAAATCTTCTGGCTTCCGGGAGTACATGAAAAATTCATTAGCTCTTCCTCATGTTTGTCAAATTCTAAAAATTGAAGAATTCCATGAGACAAGGTAATAATTTAATATTTCTCTTGCTGTTCAAGTCTTCTTTGCAGGGTTAATGTATGAATATTTATAGGCAGGATTATAACGATTAGTGATTATAACCACCAGAGTTCAAGAGAGAAAGAGTCCAATGGGACAGCCCTGGCGATGTCTTTTATTTCATGTTGGACACCAAAATTGTTCATATAAAAGGATTGAAAACACACCAGAAAGTTCAGCCTTCTCAGAAATTACAGTCTTCCTAATAGCAATACACAGTGTTATGTAATGGCTTCTCCACACAGGTTATGAAGAGTAAGTTGTTAGTAGTAATACTTGACAAACAAAACGAGTATAAATAGTCAGAAACTGCTGTACTTTTAAGGTGACCTAGGTGAAAGGATACAAGTTCTTAAATAGTGGGAGCTGGAGAATAAATATTTTTCTACACTAAGTATACTGACTTTAAAAAAAGCTTTCTTCACCTCTAATAGTTGAAATGTTAATGGGATCATAAATTATCTGAGAACTATGAGATCTCAAGAGACCCTCCAAAGTCATTTGCCTGTCACAAGACAGGATCATAATCACGGCACTCTTGAAAAACATCTGGCCATTGTGAGAGACAATGTAAAAAGCCTATAAAGATATATAGCAACTACTAGTTTTTTTCTATCCACAAAGCTTGTTGCCTACTCTAAAAAGGAATGAGATTCATTTGACTAGTTTTGCTCCTAATAAATCCACACTGACTGTTACTCATCTCCTTGTTAACTTCCAGGTGTTTACAGACAGTTATTTGTTGCAGTATTCATCCAGGGATTGTAATTTAGCCCACTCATCTGTCATTACTCCTGCACCAAGCTGTTCCTTCTCCTCCTTCTTTAAAGACAGTCACCACATTTGCTATTTTCCAGAATACTGGTTCATGTATTATTCTTTTAAGGAGCAGGTTTAGCAGTTATCAAATACTTCAGCTGTGCTGCAGCATTTGTTCATCAGCAAAAACTGCTTACTGATTCTTTGATAAGCATTAACAATACAAACATATCTGACCAACAAAAAAAACCCAGATTGTTATCTTAAATAACAGTTAAGAAAGCTTTACTTAACTGAAAAAAAATCAATCTTAGTTTTGCAAATTGTAAGCATTTAATTATATGAGATGTGGGCTAAAATAAATTAATATTTAATAATTTACCAATAATAATAGTTTTGTTGAGTCACAGCACTAGCTTAGTGCTACTAAGCTGTAGTGTGTTAGAATTACATGAAAACCTCTCATTAGGAGATAAAATAGAGAGAATGGCTTATTCTGGTATTTCTCTCCTGTAGGAAGTGAGATCATTCCTTAACCCTTTGGCAGCTGCTATCATGGTAGGTCATAATGGCCTTGGGCAGCCCAAGTCTTGCAGCATCTTTCTGTGGTACTTCATTATACTGGGTCCTAGTGAGTACAGAATTCATACAGAAAATCTGTTGTTCTATTTTTACATAACTCAGAGCCTATAAACATGTATGCACAAGAGGAAAGGGATGTTTGCATATATGGCAAAAGAGATATATCAGTTTTGTACTATTAGGTAGTCCTGAGCACTGTACCATCTTATGATTCACTAGTATTGTAAGCTCACAGGAACATTTGAACCTGAATTACAAACAATTCTGTTCCTGTAGGTTCTTACCAAGTTCTAAGCAGTTCAACCAAATAGGCCCCAGTTTGGCAAAGCTTCTTCTGAACTGCCTAAGTGCAGCCCACAACACTTACGCATTATGTGCATTGGCAAGTAAACTCTGTGATGTGGCTCACCTCCTGGTACAACATACTGCCATTAACGTTCTGTTACCATAAATCAACATACCTGAGGTAGTTGTTTTGCAATGTCTCCACCAACAAACACAGCTTCAAGGTAAATCCAGAGGTTTTGTACAGTAATCCAGTTTTCTATTATCTCCGCAGTACTGGTCAGCTTCTGAACCCACTGTTGTATAGTGGACTTAAATGGTGGGTTATACCTGTACGAACATGAGGTAAGGGGAAAAAGAAGCTAAGATTATAATCGTTTGCTTTTGGGCTTGATCAGATTTACACAATATATGCATTTATTCAGTTTTCTACCTGTTGCTCATGAGCGACCCCAGTATCATGAGGCTGTCTTCCACCAAAGCTAATTTCTCCAAGATATCTGATCCCTTCAGGAGAAGTTCTCCTCGAGTTTTGAATTGGCCAAAACTGAAAACATGAGTACTCCATTCACTGATTACATGCTTCAATTTTGCTTCAATATCCTTTTCTTTAACTGCACTGATGCAGATATCCTGTATAAAATGAAAACAGTAAATCACACTCCTCTAAAGCTAATATAATGCACACTTGCAAAAACAAGTAAAATTCATTGGCCAGATTCAGATTTCAGTGTAAGTTCCAGCTAATGAAAATACACATTGAATCACCTAAAAATGATTATATTACAAACTATATATCACAGTACTACTTGCACCTGGAACATTTTATGGGCTATACTCCATCTTCACTAGCACCTTACACATTTGAAAATTCACTTACTCAGTAAATCTGCAGACAGAATTTGTTCTTGGAAGTGAAATACCTACTGAGGGGTTTAAGGGAAAGACATATTACCCATTGAAACCAATAAAGAGTCCAAGAATACAGTGTACATGGACAAGGTGACTGCTTGCTACCTCTTGAAAACAGTGAGGACAGGACTGTCATAAACCTGGTTATGGCATCAGAAAGAAAAGGAGCAGCTACTTAGATTGGACCCCAAGTTCAGGTTCAGGAGGCTGTGACTTTGAATCTTTCACACTGCTTAAATCCTTGTCTGGAAAGTGGGTACAGCAGAGGTTTGATGTTATGTTTTTGCCTTGGAAGTGTTCCGCTATAGAACAAGACAAATCTGGTCACTTCTCTGGAGGGATCACAGATTTAACTAAGTGACAATAGAACTGAAGATAGAAACTACTGGATTTTTCCTTCTTTATTTTTTACCTCTATCTTGTTTTTGCAAAAGGTAACAGGTATAAAACTAATGTACTTGCTAAATGACTACATGTACCTCAATATCTTCTTTATATTTTAATAAACAGGCATCCATTATGTTTTTCAGAGAGAAATTTTCAGTCAACATCAAACTGATGCCCAGTGACTTGTGCAATTCTTTCCCAGTGTCGTGACATCATTGCCTAGAAAAGTCCACATGAAATGGGGAAGATTTTTTAAAATTGTGTTATTTTTAGGACTAGAACAATTACATATTTTTGGACTGCATCTGTTAAACAAATAGAAGGGTCTTGATTTCAATCCCATTGAAAGCCTTAATATTTCCTTTAATCACATTATGAAGCCTTTTGTTTTACTTTTCTGTATCTAAGCCTAAGTCAATATTAGCCATGAATATAGCTGCTTTTATCTATAAAATAGAATTATGAAAGCATCTTATACAGCATAGTCTTCAATAGTTTTTCAAGTGAATCTTATCTCCAAATTATTATGCTGAACATACTTTGTTTGCCATCATTTCAAGCAAAGGACAGCTCTCTGTGAAGTCATCAATTTTTTTTCTTAGGTCTTGAAAAGCTTGCCATTCCTTCAATGCTTTCGGTAACTTACGGATTCCTTAAAAAGCACAAAAAATAAGAAATATTTTATTCTTGAGAATCACAATGCGCCATTTCATAGTACAATATATTCTCATTTTTCAACCAGCGGACCAAGAGACTAAATAAAAATCCAGTTGCAGGCTGGCAACATAATATATAGCTCATTGTTTCTGACTGTAGGCAAAGACTTCTAGAGACAGTGAAAATCACACTGGAATCGTCTGGTTTGTACTTCACTTTGAATTAAACAAAGTTAACTTCTTGTGCAAACCCATGTCCAGATTAAGCTTTTGCAGTGTCATTGTTTTATCAAAAATCTGAAAATGGACCTGATATTGTAAGGGCAAAAAAAGACTGACCTACATGTATTTTTCAGGCAAAATAAAAGTACATCCTAAACCAAAACTGACTGCTTGCAAACTGAAAAATATTTCTGTTTCAATCAAACAAGTCCTATTTTATACCTAGTTCATATGAAAGATGTTTGTAGGAAAATTTTCTTTTAAGCACAATTTCAAGATGAAAAAAAAATTGAAAATTAAGAAGCTCTTCTATTGCAAATTGTCACAGCTCCACTTGCTTCTCACAAGTCATGCCAATTTTCATCTGCCAAAGCTATGGACCAAAGACTGACAGCAATTTTCTTACAGCTCAATGGCAGAAACAAAAAGTTGCATAAAACAAATCCATAATTAAAAAATCTGTATTTACATCTTGAAAGAGTAGATTGCATTTATGAAGCACAGAATAAGATTCTTCTATAGGTCCAACTGTCATGTCAATTTTAATCTCATTCTCTCTAATTTCCTTTAGTGTTTCCATAGCTCCCCGTACATCATCAAGGTCGTGGATAGGTCTGCTTAATCTCTTGCTAATATTTTCAATGAATGAATAAATTTCATCCATGTCTGTGGCAGACTTTTTATTCAAAGCTAGTCCAAATGTTCTTTGTCTTGAGCGGTTTCAATGACTCTGTTGCAATATCCACTGACTCCAGTACACAGTGATTTGGCAGTTCTCTGATTTGCATTTCTAATTGCTAAGACAAACTCAAGTTAGAAGCTTTTAATTTCACTACAATTCCTCTGAACAGTTCATTTTTATTAAAGACTTAATACTTACAGAAAAGTATCTTATTTGAGTTTGGAATTCAGCCATTGTTGGTTTAGTATCTATAAATTCTCTCACGTTTTCCTCTGGATCCTATATAAGAGAAGTTTATTTTAATTATTTTTTAGCATTGATATTACACTACCTAATAGTTAACTGGGGGACCCAGCTCTCTGATGTACTGTGGAAACACAAATGAACCCTCTCCAACAGAGCTCTTCCTTTTTTGTTCTTCTACTTTCTTCCTTAGATGGCTTAATGGATAAAGAATGACAAGTTCAGGTCAATACAGGAGTAGACAGAAGAGGTACTACAGGTATATGGGTTTATATGATGAAACCAGTTCTTCCTACTGCGCACATTGTCTCCTTACACAGCCCAAAATAGTTTATTTAGAAAATTTCACAATACAGCAACTTATTTTATGAAATATGTATTTAACCTTGCTCCAGATGCCTGAAAATTAAAAAAAGCTGTTCAGAAGATCTGATGCTTCAGTTTTAAGAGATAATATAATTGTGCTTAGTTGCATCACCACTTTGTTTACATCCTTATGTTCGGTGATCTGCTTGTCCAAAGGTTTCAGTGTCACTAGCCTGGTGAGTTTGCTCTCATCACCTAGGTCTACAGCAACAGCTTGTTCCATCTGGTAAAAATTAAACAAGAAAAAACAGATGTCAAGTAGTTTGAGTTGTTCAGGTTTTTTTTTACATTATGGAGCATCTAGTAACACACAGAGAATAAATACCTCTAAGAACAAAGTACAGAGAAAGTATCCACAACAAGACTTCCTGACCTTAGTTTGGATTTTTACAGATCTATAGCTCTAGTGCTAAAGGTGGTTTTATAAAAATTACTATGTGGAGCTCTATATTAATAATCTCTGAATTAAATCTGCCAAATATGTGTCCTATACAATGTGCTGTTCCCTGCTCCTACACAACTGCTCAGATCTTCCTGCTTTCTTTAGTGTAGAATTACAATCTATATCCACTCTTGGTCAAAAAAAGTCCTGGAAGCAGCAGAGAGCTGGCTGCTTGTATACAAGCAAATAATTCTACTTAAGGAAACTGAATTCAACATTTTTCCTAGTGGTTTGGTTGTTTTTTTAATTGCAGCAGTCAGCTAGTAACACCCATAGATGTTAGTTTTCACAAATTATCCATACTATCATCAACATACTTGAACAGTACATTCAAAAGATTTTTTTTAAAACACTTTTGATTTTAATATTAGAAACAACTAAACATAAGGTTTATGAATTATTATTTTTATGTTCAATTACTTGGTACAGAGATTAAAAATGAGGCTTTCACTTAAAAGGAGGATCCACCAGATTACAAATCGAAGTAGGGGTACAGAGCATATTCTTATGAATAAGATTAAGAAATGTTAACCAAAATAATAAATTTTTCACATCATCAAAATAAAGTACTCACCTGCTGCTGCTCATGATGCAAGTAAGCAAATTTCCACAGGGGAATATCTTTGGTTACTGATAATATGACATTTACTGCTTTATTTACAGCACTCTGAAAATAGCAAAATATTCACCTTGAGCACACAGAGAGACTGAAAAATAAGGCGGGGGGAGGGTTGCGTGTGTGTGAAGGGCAGGTGGCAAAAAACAGGGACCTCCAAAAAATAGCAAAATGGAAAAATTATACCTCTTTACAGGAAATATTCTAATAAAATTAACTAGGATCATCCAAGCATACATTTTGTCAGGGGAAAG